CGACTGCGAGCACCAGATCAAAGGTTTACTGGAGCATTCACTGCGTGAGGTCCGACTTGTTCTGCATCGTTTACTCCCATGATTTCCACTGTCAAGTATAACAGAAGTTCGAGGAAATCTAAATCAGATGTTCCTAGCAAAGAGAGCAGATATAACTCACAGAGGTACCCTACTCCTCTGAATCCTGAGGTGTGAAGAGAGGATTGGCTCCTACCGAGTTGGACTCTGTAGGAATGGCCGACACAAAGACAAGGACAAACGATCATGAGCAAGCGCTAGCGCTCGGGAATTGATGTCATTAGATAATCAAATCATCGGCCATTTCTGTCGAGTTCTGTCTTGACCTAATACTTTGTTGATTCATCCCTTACCGTCGTCTTGTATTCGAGTCAAACTCGTTACAAGCTATCTTAATCTTCAAGGAACACGATCCGGAACACGATCTCAAGAAGCATTATTCCGAGTCGGCTCGAGAGTTCGACTATTGTCGACTCTTGCGCAGCATTCTCAAGCAGCCAGAACCCCCGCATTCGACCTCCTTGGCTCACACATGCGATACGCGCTACCCTAGCCGGTCAATCTAGTCATCCGTCAGTCCTTCTCAGTCATACCTTTGTTGTCAACCACCGCCAACCTAAACGTCTCTTTTTGTAGCCTTCTGAACTTGAGCTCTTACGAATGAAGAACCTCCTTGACAAAACTGGCGTTGGGACGAGGTCCCTAAGCTAATTAGATGTGCACCATTACTCCTCATACACATGTATACTATTTAGGACAAACTGTCAATCGATACACTCTGCCCAGCTCTCCATTCTATCGAATGAAGGCCTGGGACTGGCATCCTATAGAGTGGTTGTTTTATTCGTTTCAACTTATGCAAATATTACCTTGCTTTGGAGTATACCAATTCGAGGCGAGCTTTGCTTGCAAAATCATCTCAGAATGAGTGAACTCAAAGGTACTATGGTTTCAAGAGGCCCGGTAATCCCATCGACAGCGACATAATACCCATGACAGCATGGTTAGCATTCCTCAGGTTTTTGTCCACATCCGGACTGATCACAAACGTCTAACACACTATCCCAAGCTACACACATACCCATTGGTCTCCATCTACCCCTTCTTCACCCCCGATCCCGGACAACAACGGCTCATATACTGACAATCCACCACGACCGCCTTCTCCATCCTCTCAATTTACGCGCAACTGCAAACTCACAGGCAGTTAATTGATACACAAGACGCTCACTGCGCTTTATCCCTCTTAACGCTTGTCCAGTTTATTTCCATCCCTGCTCAGGAAATGAGTGATTGGGTTGAGCTCAAGAGCCTATGGTCCCAGGAGGCCCGACAGTCATTATCTAATCCCATCGACAACGACATAATACCCATCACAGCATGAACCGCATTCCTCAGGCTCTTGTCCACATCCAAATCACCCACAAACGTATAGCGCACAATTCAAGCTACAAGCGTACCCTATACACATCACCCAAACACACATTGTCTGTTTGAACACTTATCCGGATCGCTACTACTCCCGCTCCCCAGGCGCTTCATCCCTGCTTTGTCAATACCTCGTACCGCGCGCTCCCCCCGATCTGAGTCGCGATACTGGAGTTACGCGCGATGGCAAGACGCTCCAGCCGTATACTTCACGCTCTATACACATCCAAACGCTCCCGCGTCCCGTCGCCAGCGGATGGCCCCGGTTTTTTGTACGCTTTCGTCGATTCCGATGTCTACTGGAAAGTAGGCATGACGAGCGACTACGACCGGCGGAAGGCAGAGTGGGACAGACAGTGTCCGTGTCCCAGCAGAGTCTGGCTTCCGCCTGTACGGGTTGTATGGCGAAGGAAAGCTGGTGCGCTGTTGACTAATTTTCAATTGAATACATGTTTATTTTCTTTCAGAATCGTTAGCACACATTTTATTGGAACATAGGTGCATCAGCCGACCTCGCAAGTACTGCTCTAACTGTCCGTACGGTTCACATCTCTATCCATACGCTAATTCATGCTGTGTTGCAAAGGTTCCAAGGCACATGTTGAAATATTCATCTTCCCTGGTCATTGGTGGTATATCTGGATAACTATTGTCCTACCAGTCCTTGCAAGAGCAGCAGCAGCATAATCTACTTATGAATTTCTTGTACAGTGTATATACATATGATGGTGTTATCTAGGTCAGAGCTGTAAGACAAGCTTGCTGATTATGAATGAATGAGCACATAGATAAGTATAGCTACCTTCTATCCTAAGATTCTACTAACACAATTACTAGATAATGGTACTGGTCTTCCCCGCCTCCCGACGTCCCGACATTTGCGACACTTCTTCGTTTGGATTTCTAGATATCGACGACGTCTAGATGTCCCGACGTCCCAATATCGACGACGTCTAGATGTCCCAACGTCCCGATATCGAGACGTCTCGATGTCATAACGTCGCGATATCGACGACGTCTCGATGTCACGACGTCCCGACATCGCGTACCCATATTCTCGGTGAGATTATTTTGAAGAATGTCATGCTCTCCACGCGGCGAATATTCCGCGAAAATTTTAAACTATCCCGGCAAGATTATGCTGCAATCATTCAAAATAATCCTAGTACATTCACACACTAATTTAGGGTAGATTAGACTGAAAAATCCTTGCATATTCAGCACGCGAAAACATTGAAAAATCACGATGGGTTTAATTAGACTAATCCTAGATAGTTTTGTGGAAGAATTTTCTGAATAATCTCAATATATTCTCTACATAATGTTCGTCCGATTACAGTGTGATTAAATAAAATATTCAGCTTACACTTAGGCGTAGAATTTTGTACCTAATCTCGCCTTATTCGCGGCCTATTCGCGGCAAGAAAAGGCCTTCATCCCCGCAGTGTGACAGGAACTGGACAAGAACAAGGCATAACATAAGCAACAAACGCGTTAATTCCCACACTCGAATCGATGTCTGGGCCTTCTTCTGATTTAGACACCTTCTGCAATATCCTTTCTCAATGCAAATGTCTGGCAATCTTAACAGGAGCTGGTTTGAGCGCAGGCTCTGGTGTACCAACATATCGCGGTGTCAATGGGCAATGGACTAAAATTGTCAGTGAGCTTGTAACTCGTATATCTACTCGAAAATTTTTTGATTGCTTCCAGAATCCTATGGACGTCGTTTCACTTCAAGCTTTTACTGATAACCCAGGTCGAGTATGGGCATTCTTTCATCCCAAGCGCGATGCGTTCGTCAATATCTATATGTATCGTTGAAATCACGTCTAATCTTAACACAATGATCTAGATGCATCAAAGCCCAACCTAATGCGGCTCATCACGCCCTTGCTTCCTTCTCCATTTCCTCTGTTCGTCGAAAATTACTCCCTAATCTCATAGATCAGACAAAACCTCCATTGTACATCACTCAGAACTTTGACGGGCTTTGTAGGCGTGCTCTTGATACTGCGCTTGATAATGCAGAAAAGGGTGGCGAGATATTAGACAAGGACACCCGACAAGCAGCTCACGAACGTCTCATCGAGATTCATGGCTCATGCTATCGCTTCCTTTGTACACAATGTAAAGCATTGAAGACCAGATTCGACACACCTTTGGCAGACATATTCGCGAACGAGGACGTAGTAGAGCAGGCAAAGAATGGCGGATACACGATAGTTGTTGATCAACTACCTAGGTGCGGTGGCTCTCAATGGTCGGGATCGAATAGGTAGGATATCTATCAATACATTCACACTTATGAATGTCACTAATTCTACCTCCAAGGTATGGACAATGTGGCGGACTTCTCAGGCCCGCTGTGACTTGGTTTGGCGAGATTCCCGAAGGTCAGGGTGAAGTTGTGCGCAATCTCACCAAGGTAGATGTCTTGCTCGTCATTGGCACTACTTCGCTGGTACGCATGCACTCTGATCAGGTCTTTCATCTCTTCTAATATCAGTCAGGTTCATCCCGCCGCATCCTATGCCGCTACCGTAAAGAAGAACGGAGGTATTGTTGCAGTCTTTAACCTTGGTGAAACCCACGGAGATGACAAGGCAGACTTTGCATTTTATGGTCCGTGCGAGGAGACCATTCCGAAATTGCTGGAACGCCTAGCCGAACTGAACGCTGCATAAGGAAAGCACAAAAACTTACCTGTAGAGCACTTGAAAATCGGGTGCAAAACTACTAATTCAGCACTCAAAGAAACCTTGGATTTATCTACACCATTTGGACCTCAATCATAGGGACTAGCTTGTACATCTCAACCTGTAGTATTAATTGCTTTGCACCCGAACTTAGCCTTGTCAGTCGTCGTCATCCTCAACAAAGCAAACCTTTTACCAGGGAAGATCATGCCTTGACGCGTGTTGCGCTCCGAGACTCGTAAGGCACTTTGACTCATACATATAAAACGTCTACTTTATTTCTATCATGTTCCTCTACCAGCCTCTACCCTATTCCTCCTTTCTTACATACAAATGTACGCCCCATCTTCCATCTCATATATCAAAGCTGAGAACGCAAAATTTCGCTCTCCGTACCTCCCTGTCGCGGTCTTCGTCGGTGGAACCAGTGGAATAGGTCGAGCAATCGCTGAGGCATTCGCTCGGCATACCAAAGGCAACGCCCACATCATTATCGTCGGTCGAAACCGCGCAGCAGCTGAATCTATCATCGCCTCGTTCCCTTACCCTACAACCGAGCCCCTTTCTGTTCAACCTAAACACGAGTTTATTCAATGCGATGTTTCGCTATTGAAGAACGTTCGCCAAGTTGCGAAAGACATCCTTGCTCGACATGATAAGATTAACTTCCTCGTGCTCTCTCCCGGTGTGTTGAGCTTCGCCAGAGATGATATCACTGAGGATGGTGTAGAGCGCAGTGCGGCGTTGGTTTATTATTCTCGATGGAAGTTTATCTATGATCTTACTCCGGCATTGACAAAGGCCCGGGAAGAGAACGAGGATGCGAAGGTGCTCTCAGTGTTGTCAGCTGGAAATGGCGGAAAGATTGATTTGGGTGACTTGCCTTTGAAGAAGGCATCCACCATTACTGCAATAAAGTCAATGATGACTTACAACGATATCATGATGGATGTGAGCACTGCTAATTTTATTTCCTCAAGGTGGACCGAGGACTGACAATCACTGTCACGGTCGTAATCTCTTCCTACTTAGGGTTTTGCCTCCCGCTTTCCCTCAGTCTCCTTCGTTCATTGTTACCCCGGATACGTTCGCACACCCATAGGATCAAACTCCCCCTCCTTCCTCATCCGAACCCTCTCTTTCATCACCAACTCCTCATTCAGTCCTTTATTCTACCTCGCAATGTCACCCGAGGATTGTGGAGAATATCAACTGTACGGGATTCTGTATACTGCATCGACACCGGGTGCTTGGAGGATTGGGAAATATGGGAATCATATCGGGAAGAAGGGATATTACGGAGACGATAATGCGAGAGATGTTCTGTGGGAGTATACCCTTGAAGTTACGGGTTCCAAGTGAATGTGGTTTCCATTGTTCAATAACACGAGGATTTATGTTAAGTACGTATCCATAATTTGCGACTTTACATTGACAGCTTTATTTAATTTCAAGGAAGGGATTTCTGACTAGGTGAAGGAATGTATAGAGTATATAGCCCCATAAGTTCAAATCCTATGGCACTCACGAAGTGCTTCCTTCCGCACACCTCAAACCAAAGAATACCCGTACAAAATTCAATATACATAAACAGTATCACCATCTGTGATCATCACATTTCGCCATTCTTCACTTTACATTCGGAATCATGTCGGGAGAGTTGGTCCGGAAGCAGGTCGGAAGAGTTTGCTCAAGGCAGCCCCGAAGCATCAAAAACTGAACCCATCTCTCCTCTCTTTCTCCCGCACGAGTTGTATCCAATGGAAATCGCCACCGTCAAAGCCCAGAACGGTAAAATTTCGTTTCCGTATATCCCTGTTGCAGTTTTCATCGGAGGGACTAGCGGTATAGGTCGAGCGACCGCAGAGGCGTTAGCTCGTTATACCAATGGCAACGCCAACATCATCATCGTTGGTCGCAATCGTGCTGCCGCAGACTCCATTATCGCGTCCTTCCCTCGTCCAAGCTTTCCTTCTGTCAAACACGAATTCATCCAATGCGACGTTACTCTTCTCAAGAACGTCCGTCAGGCGACAAACGAAATTCTCTCCCGTCACTCTAAAATCAATGTTCTCGTGATATCTACCGGAGAAATGGAGTTATTCAACAGAGAAATCACAGAGGATGGTTTAGATCGTATCGTGGTGTTGGCCTACCACTCCCGCTGGAAATTCATCCATGGTTTTATGCCGGCTTTGGCGAAAGCCAAAGAAGCCAACGAGGACGTGAAAGTATTGTCTGTGGCATCGGCAGGGTTAGGTGGAAAGGTCGACCTTGAGGACCTGGAACTGAAGAAAGTATCCCTCATTCCTTTCTTACGGTCTATTTCTACTTACAACGACCTCATGGTGGAAGTGAGTTATATCTATTTTTATCCCCCAGACTTACAATGGGGCTCATTATTCACCTTTAGGGTTTTGCTTTACACTTTCCCTCGATCACTTTCATACATTGCAGCCCTGGGAGGGTTCGTACTCCTCTAGGATCGAATTCTTCCTCAATACTCTTCCGAACGCTGTCTTTCCTCATCAACTCCCCGTTTAGTCCTTGGTACTATTATTCATTGGCACCCGAAGATGCTGGGGAGTATCAACTGTATGGGATGCTTTACACTGCTTCGACGCCAGGAGCTTGGAGAATAACACAGGATGGAAGTGATCTGGGAAAGAAGGGCTACAATGGTGATGAGAACGCAAGGGATGTACTGTGGAGGTATACCTTAGAAGTTACAAGCACAAAGTGATTAGAGGGTTACGAGGAGCTTAGTAAATAGAGTTCAAGGTTTCAATTACCATTGAATACTATCTTTCTCGTCCATGAACATGAACCTCATCCTTGAACCTGGAGCCACGAAGTGCGCCTCTGGGGCCATGGCGATATGTGTAACGCGCCTAATTGATGAAGGCCCTGAAATACTGTTTGTAGCTGTCGATCGATACAGGTCTTTATGTCGCGCAGCAATTCTCGCATCATCAAACGGGCACATTTGTACTCTATTTACTTCTTTCTTGCTTGGCAAAACCTGTGGTCAAGTTCATACCTATTTTCGCACAATGACCACAGGAAATCAAGGTGAGTTCAAGCCATACATATCGCTGTGATAGCTAATGTCTTGAGACATGAATTACAATTGCTAAATATTCCATGTACATACAATCAGCCTTCAGTAAGGGAGTGCACAATAAAAAGCCCTTCCTCAACCCCCGTGAGCCCTTTAGATAGGAAAAAATCTTGAATCCTCTCTTCTTCTCTCTCTAACATCTCTTCACTGCTTTCTCGTCACCTTTACATGAATATGAGTTGGTTTCACACCTGGTGTTGAGCATGTAGCAATACTCGTCAACCATGGATCACCGCCATCCTCTTCCTCTGCTTTGCAGTCGTAATTGACACAAGGTACCGTGTTGAACGTCAAAGTGCTTGCACTGTCACTATGTTCATCGATACTGCCACCTCCATGTACGGTACCAGTCAAAGTCGACATATTGCTGTTCAGATCGAAACCCAAAACGGCTTTTCCCCAACCTTTTAGCAAACTAGTCAAGGTACATCGGGCACTAGGATCCACATGAAGCATCCTTCGTAATGTAGGCCTTGTCTCTCGTGGTAGAAGACTGAAAATTGACCCTGCCTCCCCACTATGCAAGGTAGCCACACTATTACTGCGCTGGAGAGTTACCTCTTGGAATCCAATTGATTCTTTCAAGGTTTCAGCAACATATCCTGATATTGTTGTGGTTGGACTTGACTTCGAGGTAGAAAAAGTGGTGAATTCAGGTAAGCTTTCTGTGGAGTTTCCTGGTCGACCTAGCCTTATCACAGAAGGGTCCATTTCGACGTCAACCTTCGCAGTGGTAGAGAGTTCGAGTTCTAATTGTGAGCTCGATATAACTCCTTTCGATTTGGTGGACTTCGGCATGCTGAGGTCATTCTGAGCATCGACAAAAGCGCGGAAACTAGCATCAGTCTTCATGTCCGGGCACTTCCACGGAAACCTCCGGAGAATCAGGCAGAGGAAGATGACTGCAACACTCCATACATCACTTTTTCTGGGATCGTATTCTTCGTCCGTCAGGATTTCGGGAGCCAAATACGGATCTGAGCCAACAATGCCTTTTGCCTTGATATACGTTTTCGTCCCCGGGTAGTGAAAAACAGTTGCAGTGCCGAAATCAATGAGTTTGACGATGTTGTCAGCGGTTATGACACAATTGTCGAGTTTGAGATCCCGATGTGCAAGACCGAGTGAGTGAAGATATTCAACACCCTCGCAGATCTGATGGAAATAACAGTAAATCTCAGGACGAGACATCTTGCCAGACATGACAACGGAGAAGAGATCATATGGAGCGTATTCCATGATCTGATAAACGGTTCAGGAATGATTCGAATATTGTTATAGCGTGGACTGACCTCGTAATAGTGGCCGTTCTCTGTAATAATGTCGACAACCTCAATAATATTTGTATGGTTGAGTGCACTCCCCACGCAAAATTCTGCGGTGACTTTTGTCTGATATTCCTTCTCGCTTTCATCTTTCCGCTTTGGACGAAACTGTTTCACAGCGAAAATAGCCCCGCCGTTTTTCTGTGAACCCTTGATGAGGCGGACAGTACCGCCTGCGCCGGAGCCAAGCACTCTCCCCCATCTGCCATATTTTTTATGGAGATGGGCATGATTAATATTGATGGGGCGCGTTAAATGCGATGAATTCTGAAAATGGTGACTGCGAAATTTGAGGGTATAGGGAGGCAGAGGAGAACGAGATCGGTTGAGTTCCGAGTTCGAGGCAGAGCCAGAAGAGGGAAACGGACTTAGGTCCTTTTCGCTGAACTTGTCCTTGGGGAATATAGACGACAGCTTTACTTTCTTCTTGAGTGAATCTAGAGATAGCAATCAAGACAGTGGTTGCTGGGGAGTAGTCGAGGCACGATTTGTGCGATGTAGCATGCGCTTCAAGTCATGTAGAAGACCTGTAGAGGTACGGTTTGACGGAGCGGGCGCTTCTTCTGCAGGGACGGTTACAGATTGTAGCAGACTATTCTTTGAGTCTGGAGACTGGGAGTTCGGTGCTGTAATAGGCATCGAGTCTTGTGATGTGGGTAAAATCTGTGGTGAGTTTGAAACCAGTACATCTTGCGAGGATGCAGGAAGATCCTACAATAATCTCATAAATAATTGTTGACCAGTTATAAAGATGGAGAATTTACCAATGGAGGAATAGATTCGGATCGAGAAGTGTCTGCACGAGTATCGACCGCTTTTATATACTGTTGATCACTAGGCAGAAGCAGCGAGGTCAACACGGATGTCAGCGACAATGGGATTATTGTCTTCTTGGGCTCAATTACAGTAGATAGCACAACAGGGCGATTGGCGAGAGAGATATGAGAATCTGAAGCGCATCGCCTCAAACTAGATTCCATTCTGAATAAGTGAATGCTCAGTTTGAGTGATTGCTAAACCCACGATTTATTCTGAATTTCCGAGTTATTCAGGAAGCGTGCCATCATGATATTAGTAGGAATGAGGGAGCAATCAGAATTCCTTCTTTTGAGGACTGGTGTGTCGAAACTGGACAACATTGCATTCCTTTTGCGTTGGATATATGCGTGAGCTAGGGACAAAGTTCTTTATATTTTATATTTGCAAGTGATCGAAAAATTAAAGCACATACATTCGGATTCAACGAGTTTGTAATTCTTGCGTACACGATGAATCAATTCCTTGTTGTCTGGCATTTCCTCTTCACCCTTACATCAATATCTCGATATGAGATCAAGCTTGGTAGTAAAATCGGAAATGCTTACATCTTGGATTAATGAGGCCCAGTCATCATCATGAGTGATTGCAACCTCGACACTGCTCTTCAAGCAAGGCAGTAATGATTAGAATGAGGTTGACTAAATCCGAAGTGACTTACATGATGCAGAATCCAATTATTGATAACATTAGAAGGGTGGTATTCCTGTCAACATCCAGGTGAGTGAACTTAGTTAAAAGAGAATGTAGAGACATGCCTGGTATTTCACTGGAATGTTAAACATCCCAGCATTGTGAGTGGTTGAAGGGTTCTGATAATCACACTCAGAAGCTAAATAAGGCTTCAACCACCACTGCATTGCGATTGGAATGGCAAAATCAGTTGACCTTGACTGTGGTAATAAGTCATCCGGACCAAGCTGACCAATATATGTCACTTTTGCAGCAACATTGGAGCTTGTCATGAATGGTGGAATCTTCACCGCAATCTTGAAGCCACGAAGAAACACACATCCGGATTGATTTTGAAAGATATTGTCAGCATCACTCGAAGATGATGCAGAGTTGCATTTGCTGAATGAGTATTCTGGTGGTCCTCTTTCATCATCAGGCTCTTCGGGTACGAAATCTAATGATACACTCCCCGGATGAGCATCAACAAACGATGCTACTCCCCAAGCGCGCGCTTTGTCACATCCAGTGACAAGATACAGTGATCCATTGTGAGCTCCTCGGGCCAAGGGACCGTTAACGTACGTGTACCAAGACTGAGCACATTCTGCGGCAAAGCGATAGAACTTGGTATATTCTTGGTGATCGATCTGACTTGCACCCTCGGGAAGGATAAGTAGAGAACCTTTGGTAGCTGACGATGTGAAAGATAATCCCGCCCCAACTTCTTTGGACACCCCGCTGCAAACGTATGAGCAAAATATTAGAACGGGACTATACGACGTACGGAATTCTTTGCTGTCCCGGGAAATATGGAATTCTTGATCGGTGGATTTGAGAAGGATTACTAGCAACGTGGGAACCTGCACGACAATTCTGTGCGAGTTCAGTAGTTCCGCTAGCATCGACACCTTGAAGGTGTCTGAAATCAGGAGGAACCCGACCTATGTTCACTGGATGATCTGCAGGAAGGCATGCATTGAAGAGATAGTCAAACCCTCCAAGCTCATTTAGAATTCCCACATCTCCAATGCGCACTCCCACCCGTCTATATTCTTCTGGTAAACCCTGGTGAGGTTTTGGTAGCCATAGTGGGTATCCTCTCTTTCGAGGAAGTAACAGCCGCGCGTACACTTCCCATTCAGTTTCAGTCGAGGATGAAGATTCCGAGTCCGAGTCAAAGGATAGAGTCGGGATCATTGTGGGAGGTGGAGGCTGAAGGGTGGTCGACTGAAACGGGGAAGTGAGAGTTGGACCATTATGGGAAGCAATGAAGACACTGTTTGTTATGTCGAAATGAGAAGTATGGAACTAGTTTTTGTGCAAAATCCAGCGCCTACCACAATATCCTCTGCTTCGTGCCTTTGCTTAAGTTCAAACGTAAGTCTTGGTACTCGACTTACCCTAGATGGTAAGGTTTTGGGGATTGCGTTCCACGAAAATTCCTGCCGTGCACCAAGTTTCTGCCTAATTCCAGCCAGGTTATTTGCTTCACACAATCAATCGTCTATTGTTGGTTCATAAATTTCTGGCAGCCGTCTTTCATAGCGCTCAGCTGCTGCTTTACCTGGGAGCAATTTATCATTTGCCCCCGGGGATTCCTACTTGCTGCCATAGGGCAAGTGCTCTAGAGCACAAAGGCAACTGCCTTACTACCTCAGATCTACTGGCCAAGTACTAATCAGCAACTGACCAACAGCTTCAACCTAATCTTATGTTAGTTCAAGGAAACCAACCGGGGACCTATATATCGTTACCGTAAGCCAACCGACTACCAACCGATAACCTCGGCCCGACCTGCGTAAGCTGGCATCTTCCGATGAAACGGGAGGCATACCATCATTGATCCACCAGTTTTATCGGAATTCTCCGATTACCTTGTATGCCCGGTTTGAACGACTCCAAAAACTTAAAGCTATGAGGGAATGTGCTCTGGTATATTAGAAATACAATAGTTTATGGGTGCTAGAAGTTATTAGGGTACATAGTCCTTGCAATAGCAAGTGCATCAATCCAAAGCCGCACAACTTCGGGTTCGTGAGGTAGGCGCGAATGATTTTGAACCAGTTGATCCAGGAAAGCAAGCTGCTCCGGGTTGAGCAGAGTCGATGGTGGATCAACAGTAACTGTGTTCAGATCTGGAGGAGGGCCTCTGCTACCTAACCAGGAACCAGAGCCCTCATTTGGAGAATAGTTTTGTCGGAGAGCTCGTAAAAGTACTTCGTCTTGCAGACCCTCCCAATCTACTCCAAAAATCTCAAGCTCTTCATCGGACATTGCAAATTGGTCCAATGGCTCCCCTCGGATCCCATTGACAAGTGAATCAAAGACAAACATGTCCTCAGGACTCCGTGCTGGTCCATGACGCTGTGATACCCGATGGCTATTCCACGACTCAGCCCAGAAGGCAAGCTGGTCGTTGATAACAGGAAGGAAAAGATGCTGGAGTAGCCATATATGGTTTACATTTGAGACTTGCAGTCCATGGCGAATTTCGAGGAGAGTAAACATATCATGCCATGTTTGACTAATGTAATGGCTAACATCTACCCACAAACGCTCAATTCGAACATTATGAACAGATCTAAGGAAATAGACTGGTGAGCATCTAATAAAATGCTCATAGCTTGCATACCTTCCCCATAGATATGAGCCACGTCCTTCTCCACGAGCATGTTCCATGAATGCTGCTACCCACACATTTTCAATTCCGTGGTCTCCCCGAACACGCGAAGGAAGGCGATACTGTTCCACAGCAGAAATAAAAAGTGATAGGACAGTTTGACCACGATTGTTATTGCTTGCACGGAGCCCTGTTATTAGTCTTGAGTACCCATCAATGAAGCCATGTATAACGATACCCCATCTAATAAGCCCTGGGATTGAGGAGATATCGTAGCATGCTTATAAGTATAGATGGATGCAAAGACGACATAAAGATACTGACGATGATGTCCATCATGATGCCATACCGAATTTGGACCTGGAACAGAATATCCTCGACGGCGAATCCGAATGCGGTCGAAGACGCGGTGAATGGGATCAATTCGAATGAGAGACTGCCGAATGCGTTCATATGGAACAATAATACAGAGACGGCGAAGCATGCCATCCAGCATTCGTATACCTGCTCGATGATAATGTATGCGCAAGCGTCCTAATAGGGAATCGAGCTGCTCATCTGAGATACGAGATATATAACCTGGTGATGATGAAGATGGTATTAAGGATGCTTCAGCCCGCACATCTTCAGGCAAGTGAGCTGGTTGTGGAACTTCTGCGTCAAGCAGCTCATCAGAATTGTCCAAATGGACATCAATTCTACGAGTATCTTCCACTGAGCCCACCATGCGAGGAAATGGGTTAGCACCTGGGGAAGCAATGCCATACTCCAACAAACGACGGCGCAGAGTTGAACGAGAAACATCTAGAAAATTGCTTATTCCACTTGTGCTACGATGTTGATAAGCAAATCGAAGGAAATTGGGATCAATTACTGTGCGCGGTCGTCCTGGGCGTCCAGTTGTTTCTGTGAATACCACTTCTGGCCTTCCAAGGTGAGATGACTCTATGCGTTGGTTATACAAAGCCTGAATGTCTAGAATCATAGTCTGAATGCCATTTTGCAGCGTTTGTGCTTCTTCTGATTCAAAAATGGCTATATGCTAAGTTCATTTTCTGGATCAAACCATAAACAAAGAAAGGTGGTAAGATGATACCTCAGTAGCAGTCTGTGCAAACTGATGCAAGTCTTCTCCAAGGAGCTCTAGTAAAAATGGATCTGTTGGTTCTGAGTGAACCTGAATGGCCACAGCTTGAAACTGAGCATAGTGGGCTCTAAAGGCATCTAAGAAGCTCGTTCGAGGTGCAGAACTACCTATATTTGTGGTATTTTGGGCTGCAGAAAGCAAGATACAATGCAGAAGGGTCAAGGTCCACATATGGACTGGAAGGAATATCCACATTGTGGATGTAGAAGAAAAGCAAAATTTCAGACTTCCGATAATGAAACTGCCAGTTTGTTCAGGAACCGGCATAATTACGCGAGACGGTCAGTTGTTTGTTGCTTCTACCATCCCATTATTGTGAATATTCAAGGCGATTGCTGTAGATTATGATTATCTTATTAGCAACTTAGAAGTGGATTCTTCAACAGCATCCTTGTTGATTCTGGTGTAAGATGCTGAAGAGGAAGGTAACAGTAATACATTTGAATTCTAAATGTTTAAATGCATCGGACTTAACAGATCGTACTTCTCCAATTGACTTTGAATGATGGAAAGAAGCGTGTATTTGTTTGGATCGATGGGCGGCTTTGTACCTCCTTCTTTCTTTCCCAATCCTTCTTTTTATCTGCCTCTCGTTTCTTTTAATTCCAATGGAGCAATCGAGGGACATTTTGGTTACGCTACTTAGAGCAGGACGGCAAACTGGACTCATACCTATGGACCACACATTCACTATCTCCGAAGTGCTCGATGCGGCCGAACAAGCTGGGATTATATCGTTTCCACTTGTAGATGAAACTTTTGCACCTCTTCAAGGATTTGATTGTTTCGTCCCAGAAGCTCAACAAACTCACCAGAGTATAAACAATTTTAACTTGGAGGATCTGTTAGGGAATAGTGCTTCCAATGAGGCGATAGGTAATATACTATGCTGCTTTTACTCAGATAATGCATTCTGCTGACTTTTGTTCAATTCTCTCAATATGTTCCCAGAATCTCGTATTGAAGCCCAATTCATTGACCCGACTGCTCTCATCTTTGATGCAGGTAAGGCGTTGAAATGCTTTGTCTGTGAACGAAAAGCTCACAAACATATATATTGCAGGCGAACATAGCGGTATTATACATCAAGCTGCAGATCCAAATACCCAAGGTAGGATTCAGCTTGCTTTATCAGGCGGTGGCTCTAATATATGCTTTTAGATATCTTTCAAGCGCCATGCATCGGTGGTGTTTCTGTTGCTTCTGGTGATATTTTTGGCGGTCAAGGTGAAATGTTATACGCTTGTAGTGCATCCATTTCTCACATTAACGCACCTTAAGCCTCCAATCAAGCACATATTTCCCCCACTGCGAGTCTCTACCAAGGTTCTGGAGAATATATGGATGCCTCCCTCGAGCACAACTCAAGTTCTTTACCTGGAACGCTTGTCAAACATCAGCTCGTCATGGCTAGCAAGACTCCATCTCTCTCGACCAACTCTTACTGGCAGCAGGAATCCCACATGGAGCCATACGTCAGGTCCAACAAAGGACCTGTAGTTATAACGAGCGCGATCAACTTCGAGGCATTTTGTGATGAGAATGGATATAGGCGTTTGCTAGCGATGTACCCAAGGGGGCAATTACGAGGGCCTGAGCAGTGTACCGCATTGTGCTATTTTCAGTGGTCTAATGCCCGGGGCTTCATGGTTGAAAGCCTTGGGTATACTGGCGGTCTCCATTTGCGGCGTTATAAGATTCAATACGATAATGGAAGTGGCAGATTCGAAGATCTTCTGACAATTCTGGAGCATCGACTGGGCTGGAACATAACTACTTTTCAGAGCGTTACCCGGTTCTTTGAGGACTGCGAGCAGCTCACAGCCAACTATATATGGGATCCAGAACTTGATCCAGTATCTACAAATTATGTACAGTCCGGTCAGTTCTCTCCGCCTGCACTTCTCTATCAGAACTGATACTTGTGTTCGTTCCTTAGGTATTGTCAAATTAGACAAAGGCAACCCATACGACATATGGAAAGGAATTGTTTATCTTTTCCACGATCCTGGTTTTTTCATACATGGAAAAATCCCGAGAAAAAGCCCACTTGTGTCAGAAGAGGAACAGGTAGCCTCTCAAATCAGCCAAAATGTTATCTTTCAGAATTTGCGACATATTCAAAAGCACCTTGTCCTTCGTCCAGCCTGATTTCACTCATTTGTCCCTTTCACATTTATCTGCTACTAATACGTATATCCGACATTCCTGATATGCTTTGCTCCTGATACGCTTTGCTCCTGATACGCTTTGCTTCTGATACGCTTTGCTCCTGATACGTTTTGCTTCTGATACACTTTGCTCCTGATACGCTTTGCTCCTGATACGCTTTGCTCCTGATACGCTTTGCTTCTGATACACTTTGCTCCTGATACGCTTTGCTTCTGATACACTTTGCTCCTGATACGCTTTGCTCCTGATACGCTTTGCTCCTGATACGCTTTGCTCCTGATATGCTTTGCTCCTGATACGCTTTGCTCTCGTTACGCTTTTCTCCCAATACACTTTACTCTCGCTACACTTTTCTCCCAATACACTTTACTCTCGCTACACTTTTCTCCCAATACACTTTGCTCTCGCTATGCTTTTCTCCCGATACGCTTTGCTTTTGCTCTCGCTACGCTTTTCTCCCGATATGCTTCTGATTTGCTCATCCATTCCCCTGCTAAGCACATCTGCTTTTACAATATTTGCATCTTTATTTCATAGCATACAATGGGTCTCTATTTGCATTGTCTATCTGGATTTCCCCACTGCTTGGCTATCACACTCTCTATACCCAGTACGCTCACTATTCATCCTATCGTCACTTATGGTCTTTCAATATCATATATCCTTCTTAAGATCAGTTCGATTTGGACCCTGTTATTGGTCAACAAATTTCATCGTCAACAAATATATGTATATTGGCACTAATGACCAAGGTTGTTCATTTATATCACAAGCAGGACAACGATGTAATAAAGCAAGGTGGGGTCAAAGCAAAGAAATAGCTTGGGCAAGGCAGCAATCGTATCTACCAAGGCAGCCAAGGTGGAGGGAGTGCTGCTTCCACTGCCGAAAGTGCTGAAGGGTATTCCCAGATGAGCGTCCGATGGTCTCCATTCTCTGGCTCTTTCATTAGATAATGGTAACGGGGCCATGAAGGGTACTCTTTGTGAAATGATACTGGAAGATGGTTATGAACATCCCATAGAAGAACTGCCTGATTCAAAGATGTTTCCCAAGCTGAAGGCGGAAGGCCATAAGATTGAATATATGGATGAAAGTTGTTTACTGCTTGAACAAGAAAGTTTCGGATGGACTGATACCAACATTAGACAGATTTGGCAGTAAAACGTATAGATCAACCCACATTCATCATTCCGTGCCACATTTTCCTGGCTTCATCATTCGCATATGTGTGCAAAATTCTCTGGTAAGTTTGATTATTATCCTGCAATAGATCAATTAGCATTAATCAGAATAGTGTAGAGATACCTACGTTGAAGAAACTATACAATGTTGCTTGAGTAATCTTGTCTCGTATCATTGTTTGCGCCTCATATCTAGAAACACCATAACGAAGTTCTAGATCCTCAATATCGAGTTCGCTGCCACTATATCCAGGTGGATAGACTACTCGCTTCATGAGAGAGGTCCGTTGGTGCAGTGGCTTCTCCCCAAAAGTCACATCTTCAGGCCAGTGAGCAGCCCATACGGCTGAAGTACGAATGAGAAATGCTTCTTCAAACTCTGTTCCAAAAACCATAAGAAACGTGGGCACAAAATGCCAGAGAAACTTGTTTCGCAAGGATTTATGCAAGTGACATGAATACTGAAGAGAATTTCTTCACAACCTATGCTTGATTGGTTTTGGAAGAAATGCTCACCGAAGGATGGTAACGATCTTCATCGATTCCTCTATCGGTTTGGGTCCACGACTCTTCAAAAGGTTGATGGAAATATGTGAGCGACATATTGGAAAAGCTGAGGATGAAAAAATTTCAAAGCTGGGTACTTATAGAGGCTTAAATGCCATCGGTCAGCTTGGCCAGCAGTTACTAAAATTGAGCAAAGCAAAATGCCATATGAAATTCTTAGACGCCTCAAGTTCAAGGATCAGATGACATGACATCATATTGATCAAGCATTGATAGCATTGTAAAAATCTCATTTTCTTTGTCTTTCTTCTATAAATGACGATGATTAACTCAATAGTCAAGTTCAAGCTCAGGCTCAAGGTAAATTCTCTAATCAGAGCAGCATGTTGATTTTCAATGATTTTTAAAGAAAGCCATACGGGGTATATTTAAATCCTTATCAGGCCAACCTACTATTCCAGACGTCGATGTCGTAGATGAAGCAGTAGCTGCTGGCAGCAATGCTCAGCTTGCATTGAGAGTAGGCATTCATCTTGGGGTCCCCGGTACAGATGAATCGGGTATGTATGGTATACGTATCTGGTATGCAAATTGCTTGTTAACGAGTAATGATAGCAGAACATATTATGAGTCTTCGTACCTTTGGCAATAGGCATCATGACCGGTCCGATTTGGTTGCGCAGAGTAGCAACTTATTAGTGCTTCATAATTCCGAGACATATGAGCAAACCTGAAGAATCCATATTCCAAAATATATTAATCCTTCAATATTCCCAAATATTCTTCACGTGTGATAAAAAGGCCAGCATATACAAGACCCAAGGTCAGAATACCTAGTGGCTCGTGGCCATGAGAGATACCCCTTCTTCGGCATTAGAAGTTCCGCCTGAGCTTTACTTGCAACTTTCCGGTGCATGCATTTAATTAATCGTGGTGACAAAGTTCCCTTTGTCATCGTTGTCATTCGCAATTTCCTAGATGACCGTATCTTTGCCCTTGGTATCATTGTACTCTTCAAAATCTCCTCGCTCCGCCCTTTCTCTCTCTTCCCGTTTCAGCTCGGTATTGGGAAATGGGGAGGCAAGGGACTCAGATCCGTCTGCATAGATGGAAGGATGGGATACCATCGATGAGGCAGAAGCACACAGATCAGACACAGAATGGTTGACAATTAGCTCAATCAGTTCCGCGTGCTCAGTATTCTGTACTATGTTCACTTTGCATCCATACCCTTGTATCTATACAGTATTCCTGATTTTGCAATCCAATCTTATTACTCACTCAAGCACCGAGCATGGCTTTATATGTTACTGAGCTAGACAAACACAAAGCCTCGGTTGGCTTGCATGCAGATTTCAAAGGATAGCCAATAGGTTAGAATAGTGGGATTGTACCGTGCAATATTGATCCTATCTATATTCAACAAACTATAGCTTCCAGAGTGGTTTATCGCAGCTCTTCTCATTACCAGGCAAGCATTTCTTCCAATCCCCGATGTTCCTGACGCTTGCTGTATGGTGAGCGTTATCATCAAATGAGATCTTTGACGCTACTCCCGCTGCTTCTCCTAGGCCTTACGATTGGTTCCTGACGTTCTTTAGGCAATCCAACCTGGTTCAGCTGGACCATCCTCTGTGGAACCTTCCTAGGTATCTTCAATGTTTCCTTCTTGTCCGGCACAAGTTGGTGATGCAAGTTCACCAATTCTTTCGGAGGTTTGGACTTCGGAGCTGGCGGACGTGCAGGAGTGACAATCGGACCTCGATATTTGCCTATGATATCAGCAGGAGGAAGGGGAAGGCCGGGTTTGGGGTCATGTGCTTTGCGAGTGGAAGTAGCCGGAGTTTTCAAAAAGCTGGGAATGTAAGAGAAGAAACGTCCGAGACCAGCTTTGGGTAGGGAAGAAGTCTCGACAGTCAGAAATGACAGATAACTGAGAGTATTCATTTCTGAATTTGTCAAAGAAGGTTCTTCACTTGCCAATTCTCAGCTGATAGCGACTGCTTCATGTAAGAGATGCGAATATCGAGGAGCTGACAATGTTGACGGGACTTTGTGCCGTCGAGGCTCCTCCACTACGTCATCAGGTATACTACTGAAAGGTGCCGTAGATGCACCAGGCGGAGGCAACAATACAGGGTTCCTCAGAGGAAAAGATCGTCGATTTAGGGGTGTGAAGTCCGGAACTTCCATAGAAGACGATGGCTCGCAACTCTTGGATATTGTACGGGGAGTGTAAGGAGTTGTAGGTGGTGCGACGTGTCCTGCACGCTGTTTCTTCTGAATTGCTTCAGCTCTAGCACGAAGACTATCTTTATCCGAGGTCATACAAATTAGTGGCTGAGAAGAATATTGTGAACCAAATCTTACCTTGACCAACCACGAGCATTAGTGATATCGTCCCCACCCATTTCGACTATGAATCTTTGAACCACAACGTCAACGTCGACAAAGTCGACTTCTGCCAATGGAACATCTTCGTGTCCGTTATTCAGGGGAGAGGAGATCGAGTTGGATGATGATCGGGATGCAAGATCTATTCTCTCATCTGTAAAACAGGCCCCGTCAAGGATTCTTCATTCTTCCTTTGTCCATTCTTTGTAAGCTAACTGTTAATCATTCTGGTGGTCATCTTCTACATCCCTGATTTCATGCACGAGTGTGCTCTGCGGTCGGATTGCGAGCCCATATTTCGCAGGCAAAGGAGTACGGTACGATGCACGTTCACTAAGCCCTATTCCGACGAGTGCATTATCTTCGGGCATCAGAGAACCAGACTTGGAGATGCGGGGCGAAACAGCTCTAAACTGCTCCTCTTGGACTTCCTTCTCGGCTTCCTTTAGTAGTCTCCCTAGAGTTGTCACCGGACTGTGAGGTATATAGACCATGTCGCCCACAGCGGTACCCAGCGAGCGTCTCGGCGTCAAGCGAGGTTTGCCCTTAGAGATTCCCGCACCAGACAGCGTCTTATGACAACTGTCCCGTTTCAACTTCTCGATAGTGTAATGCGAAATTTCTCGAGTGCGTTGTTGCTGTTGCCTCAAAACAATCTTAGTGAAGCAATCGTAGTCGTGCTGGGGACTTTTGATGAGAATCATAGATCAGCAGAAGAAACATGTCACCTGTTTTGAGATAGCAGCAGCTTTGGAATCAGAGCTAGTGATTTGAACCAAGCCAGGATCTTGGGACATAGGATCAGACCCATCTCCACTGCTCATTTCGGCGGCTTCTTCTGCAGCGTCAATTTTCAACTCCTCCTCTTCCTCTTTAAATACCTTATCAACGGTGATAGGCCTCTCATTTACTTGATGAGATGGATGAGCTGCCTCAGCGTCCTGCTCATCGTCGTCGAAAATCTGTGCCAGACCCGATAATGGTTTCACGGGACTCGAACGTGTACCAAATAGTTCCTTGGCTCGTTCCAATGCGGAAAGGCGCGTATTACTACGCCTCTTGTCAGAAAGGAAAGCTAGATCTCTAAGTGGAGCAGGTGAAGAGCATGCCTGAGACTCTGCCAAGTGTACACGACGAGGAGTATGTGCTGTTGCTGTGACGCCAGACGGTTCTGCGATGTGGTCACTGACTACCATATCAAAAGAAGCACTGCTAGGGTTCAAATCCTCGACTTCCGATTCTTCCTTGATTCTTCATCAGAATCTGTTCTGAAGGTAGGAATGTAGTCGGCATTCGGATTAAAGGTATGAGGGGACCGCATCAGCTTAGATTGTCTCCGTTTGCGACTAGGTGTAGCCTGGACGCTGTGACCCGTTAAAGAGGAAGGTAGAGGCAAGAGTTCATGCTCTGTCAAAGTAGACATTGCAATCCTCAAACCTCGGGTTGGCGAAGGAGTGGTTTGTATGGATGTGTCAGACTGTTCGTACATGGGCGCGATTAAACTTCCTTGACTGTTTGCGAGGCTTGGGATTAGGCATAGCCTGAGCGTCAGTGACAAGATCGCCGTTATGGATGGTAGCGCAAGACGAGCCAACAAAGGAGTGTGTAGCAGCCTTGACCATTTCCGTTTTGAATGAGATGGTGCGATAGAAGATGTTGGAATAGATTTCATGGATTCATTTAGACGAGACATCTGGAAAGCAGTTGCGTCTAGCGTTCAAGTTGGGACCCGTAGGAATTATTATACGCTTACAGATAGTTTATGAAAGCTAGATCTCTGACTGATATTGATTTGCTGAAGAAGAGGAGGTTTTTTGGGGGGGCAACCACTCGGCATCCTAAAGCAGCCCAAGGCGTCTTCCAGAGTAAGTAAGTAAGGTCGAACAGCTCTGCCAACAACCCAACATGCCCAAAGCACGTAGAATCCGGCAATGATAGAATATCCATCGTGTACTTCTCGTTTTCCTTTGAAGACCATGCCAAAGAATCCTCGGCCAAGGAGTATGGGGAGAGCGACAGATGTGCCAAGGCAGAGAGCTCCGAACGTCCATAATATCGAGACAAAGAGTATCATTCGGTATCGGAAATATGGCGAGATATAGACCACAGTGAAGTCTTGTCTGCTGCTATGCTTGGCTTGAACCGTTTCCATATCCTGTTGGGTCATGAGGATCATTGCCTCTTCATTGACAGGTTTGCCGGTAGCTGTAACCGCTACAGTAGCAGGAATGTCCCACAGGATAGCAAGATCGTCCGTATTGGGAACCCGCCTGAAAGACCCGTCATAATCCTCAACCAGGATAGAAGCGTCTTTGCTTGAGCCATATACGATGCGGGAAAGTGAGAATTTTTTCGGAGCGTATTCCTCCTCCGCCAGACGTAACCCAAAGAAGTATGAAGTAGTCGCAGTCGCGTCTGGCCAGTCCTTTCCACACTACCATTGTGAATTTCCTAAGAGCTCTTCGCGGACAAAAATAAGTCATAGTATATGGTAATGCGACGTTGAGGAATAGCAAATCGATAGAAATATTGGATAAAGGCTCTCTGCATTATTCATGAGATTAAGCAAGAAGTTACACAAGTGAAATACACGAACCTCGTTTTCCATCGAATGGGAAGGAGTAATTTTTGGCCAAGAAAGAGCAACACCGCAACGCTGAAAACGGTGCATACAACGACAAAGGTGTATATGATGCCACTGATGCATATTTTCCGAAGTTGGACTAGCGCAGCTCGTTTGAGGATATCGCGTATGGGATGCGCATTCTGATCCTGTGGGTCTTTGATGAACCACATCCCCCCTGGACGCATTATACTTTGACACCCCATTGGCGTCAAGCTGGATCGCCCTTCTGCCACCGGCATTGAATGCAACAGCAGCTCCTTCTCGAAGTTGTGGTCTGACTTGGAATTCTTCGGCAATCTCATCTTCGCCTTCTTCGTCTTCTTCCTCGTCATCTTCCTCATCCTCATCTACTTCCGCACCTGCAACTTCATTGCCATCCTGGAGGTCCACAACATGAGGTTCCTCATGCTGTTCAGCGTTCCCAGCCTCCGGCTCAGGTAAATCTATTACAAGTTCTAGCTCAGTATCACTCTTGCCTTCTTCTGAACCATCTGTTGCTTCCTCTTGGAAATACGTCGTTATTTCCTCGTCCATCTCACCGTGATCCGGGATTAACGGCGATGTACTGTTTTCGCCCTCATTGACTTCATGTCCGTCAAGCGTTTCTGCGTCATCATCTTCATCGTCGGCTTCGACCGCTTGTTCGCTAACCGGCGCTAAAGCACTGGTAGAAGGACCTGCAAAATAATCTCTGTTGTCGGAGTTGACCAATTCTTCTGGTGCCCGATAAGTAGCCAAATTGGGAGAAGCAAGAGGTGTTTTTACACTCGGCGAAGAGGTTCCGGACCCAGGAAAACTGGGAAGGGTGGTTGGAAGCGGTGGACGACGTATGGGTGCTCCAGGGCTGGATATACTGGTATTTGAAGATGGTATGATGGTAGGAATCACCCGGCGTAAGTGGTGGAAGCGAAATTGGGGACTGGGGATGTTGAAGGAGATGAAGAGGGTGGGGACGAGGGGCTTGACAACTGTTTATCAAAGTTCGATCCACGAGAAGGAAACATTCCCCAGATGTAGAGTCCGGATCGGATTTCGGGGGATACACAGATGAAAATGGGATACTTCCATTCGGGCGCTCGAGTGCAACGGATGGAAAAAACGAGGAAGGGGGGGCGGTAGTAGTTGTCGTTGTACGTTCTGAAGAGGTTTCGGTATTTGGAAGTGCCAGACCCTGATCTAGGGCCCGCCTTCGGCTACTCCCATTCTGCCTGGCCAGTTGCAGTAATACAGTATGAACGGACCTGTGGTCAGATTAATATTTGCCTGCTCTGGTGAAGCTCTAAGGATAGTCAAAGACTTTTCAGCGGCCTGGAATAGGACGTATGAGAGCTGCTGTTGGATTTAGACTGCGGATAGTACCTCGTGAATTTCCGGATGCTTCCGCCGTGTTTCGCTGGACGGTGACTAATAAAACAGAATGAGGTCAATGTTAAGCACGAGATTATAGAACGGACCTGAAATGATATCCCATACGATTTGGAGTTGTTTTGTTGATGGATCGTCCAAAGAAAGGCTGGTGGTGCGCGGATAGGAGCCTCGCCTGCTGCGCGAGGTTTTTGGACAATTATGGTGTTGTAGAGGGGTGCGGCGAATGTTGCAAATCCTTCACAAAGAGAGACAAGACATTGCACGGCAAGGAGATAGACGTATGATTCAGGAATTGGAGGAGAGTCGGCCTTGTCCAGTTGGTCAATACTGAAACATCACAATCAGTAGAACTGTAGGAACAGTAGAACGGCACTCACCACTGCAGTTTCATAGTTGAACCCTGCAAGCTTAGTCCAGCGTTCGAGCCCATCATTCCAACTACATTTGATACCGTGGCGCTAGCCGCAGTGGCAACCATCCCAGCTACTCCATCCAACGAATAAGCAGAACCACTGGGTGATAATGCGTAGTGGCTATCATTATTACTGCTGACGCCCACACCGAACATCTGCGAGACTACCCCGAGCAGAGCGGGCTTTTCTGTGACAAGTCGTTTGAGCGCAGTGATAAGAGTGCTGAGAGCATTTGAGCCATGTTTCTGTGCATCGTAACAATCCCATACGCTACGCATGAGTTCCGCATCGCTGCACAAACTGTTCCAAGACGAAGCAAACATTATGAGACAAAATGAGCTCATGTTAAATAACGCTTACCCTCGCATAATCTCCATTGCAAGCACCCTCATCCGCTGAGGTCTTGACCCGCGATTATGACCATACGATTCATTCGATGCAATGCTACTTCCGCTTCTGCTTGTATCCAACAACACCGAAGTATTGTCCGTAATAATACGGATAAGGAGCATCAAGAACGCCTCAGCTTCCGTCTGCAATTTGAGGGAAAATTGCTTCAGCAGGAGGAACACGACGCGAGTGCATCGCAAAATGAGAGGGAATGTCGGTCGGTCTGAGAGCGCCTTGAGGAGAAGGGGTCAGAGATGATGTTGTAGAAGGAGAATCAGGGAAGGGTGCTATGGCTATCAATTAGACGGGCCGAAAAATCAACTGATACAATCGACATACTTTTCGAAACAATGCATGATAATTTGTCAGAACGCTCTTAATTAACTCCAGTGCGAACGTCTTATGGAGAGATTCAAGCTTGAGGAAATTCGGCTTTCCGGAATTGGCCAAGAGACATAGATCCTCGAATACGGAATACGCGTCTTTTGCAGAAGGACCGAGGGGAGTGGTGGTGTCATCTGGTAATGTAATTTCTGCGAGCCTATGATCTGCCTCTCCAATTTCTGCGTCTGTGTTCTTGTGATCCTCATCAACCATTTTGTCCGTCACAACCGCGACAACCTGCCGAAGAGTTGCAGCGGCCGTACTAATACGACTGCAATTCGTGATTCTTGTAACTTGAAACACAAAAGTAAAGCCTATGAAAGTACAAAGTATGCCTTCAGCGAACTGAATTGAGTGAATGAAACGGTATGCGAAGCATACTCCGACTTACATTGCCCAATAACGTATCGTGCACTTCCAAATAATTTGTTATCAACCCGAGTAATGTTTGCAATATCTCGAGCTGGATATCTACACCCTGGTTCATTGCATCGCCCATGATACAGATGATTTCCGGCACAGTGGATTTCGGAACGGCTTTGAGGGATATAAGACGTTGAAGAGAACCACGAGATATCGCAACGACTTTCGGAGACTTGGTAGCACATCCCATGAATACTGGTTCGAGGAGATCGAAAGATTGTGGTCCATCTGAATAACACAAAGTTCAGCTCGGAGTAAGCAGTCTCTGGTTGAATTTTCACCTTTCCATCCTCTCTAACCGGATAATTCGAGCAAGAGCCTTCCCTTCGATGACATCGTCTTCTTTTTCTTTCCCTTGCCCTTTTCCATTCTGCGATTCCTAGCCCTCTTGGTCACAACCTTATCCAATTCGTGCTCAAGTTCATCACTTCGGGTAGGTGCAAATTCTACGGCGGAACGGCCTTTCCGCTGGGCTTGGGATTCCCTTGCCCTCTTCTCCTCTTCTGTCAATGTCTTCTGTCTTTGTGCTCGAAGAGCATCCAGCGCCCTGACGGCTTCAATTTGACAATGTGCTAAAGCAAGTCGGGCGTTGACGTCCATTCGTGGAACTGCTGGACGTCGTGGGGCAGGTTGAGGATTTGGTTCTGGAGCAGGTGGAACTCGTAGAATCTCTTGTCCGTCCTTGTCATCGAATTGGCCAGGTCGGTCGATATGAGCAATCCATTCTCGAAGGAAGAAGATTGCAACGAAGGTAATGACAATCGGTGCCGCGACGATTTGTCCGATAAAAATGTCGACAGAATTAGAGAGCCATCGCGGATGACTGGCGATTCAATTGATTAGGGTGGAGATGTCAGACAGAGGAGGCATGGGGTCGTCGAGAAAAGAATGCGTAAGTTCAATGATTTCACGGCTGACTCTGACATTTCAGAATCTGCATTGGAGGTTCCGGTTCGGGCTCGAGTTGTCCGTACGGTATTTCGAGTTGTTCTGGCCACGTCACCAGCCTGGGTTGAATTTTTTTTTCAACTCGTGCCCAAGTCTGGATTCAGATGCAGACTTGAGGATCTGTGTGATTCCGTCTTCTAATATGATGTGCGCTTCGCGTACAAGGTCTGCAACTTGCCTACCTATCCTTCGCGCCCGTTCGGAATCTGGAGGAGAGTATAAGGACTCAGAGAAACATATGTCCTGGAGCTGTTGTGATTTTGGTCTGACGTTATTATTCAAAGTGGGAACAGTGCGTCTATTAGATTTGAGCCGGGAAGATGAATGAGAACGCGAAGAATTTGAAGACACTTTAGGGCTGAAGCAATTAAACTGGGAGACTTTGGGCTACACGCAACGTATCAGTTGCCAGAAATGAAGCGAAGAACAATAAAGTCTTTACGAAGATGCGTTTGGATTTGACCTTGAATTCATATCGGTAGTAAACGTCAGGATATATGGACCCATTGCCCGTTCGGCTACCTGCGGCACGAATTTCCCTCTGGGTGAACATCTGCTGCAGCGTTGTATTCGTTTCGACGGATGAAATGTAACTTGGATCAAAGTAGAAACATCTCATTGGAACAACATCTGGGAAGACGACAAAGAGGAGTAGATATGAGTTCAATGACTGAGCGACGCCACTGCTAAACGCACCATCCAACGTAGATGAGTGGACTAGATCACAATGATCAGATAACAGTCTTTCGTTCTCGCCTAGATGGCTTATATCACTGTTTCATGACACTGGTTAGTTCAAACTCCACTGAACGGTACATTTCCCTACAAGTTTTGTACAGTATTCCCAACGTCGGCTCCTGAAAAGAACCATTGAACACGAGACCAAGCTTCCTGCTCTCCTCCCTCGTACCGCATCCGGATATCCTTGATGAAACCAAGCCACATTGCCTCGATAGGCAGAGCAGGTCCGTCTTCTATTCCGTAGCCAGCTGGAGGGTCAGAAGGAAGTATGGAAACGCTGTTTTCTGATTAGCATCGTCGTCTAACGGCAAGAAACAGCACCGCACCAATCACCAACTTCAAATGGATGATCTACGTCCTCCCCTCCATCGATTGCATTCTCAGTGACGATGAACTTTCTGTATATTTCCATTGATTCCCACTCAATTTCTGTTGGAGCTTCTGGATCACCCCCGGAAGCTGCATTTTTGTGTTCTGACTTGTTTTTTCTGATTCGGGCCATATTGTACAAGGAAGATAGGCAGCGCAAGTTACGTAAAGAGATCAGCAAGCTCGAAAACAGCAAGTACTTAACGTTCCAAATTTATTTTAGATGAGTGGTGAATGAATGCTAGCGATACAGTGATAGTAGATATGATTTATGGAGAGAATGTGTTGATGTGACACAGTTCAGTCACCTCAGATTCATGGAACTTCCGTAGTTTGTGCTGCAGAAGCATTAGGGTTGGGTAAATGATTGTCCTTTATATATAACGACGAGCCATCGTTTCCTATACGGATGAGTACAGCGTCGCCTTCACGGATTGTACCCTTGAGAAGCTTCTGTGCCAATGGGAATAAAACATCTGTACAAACAACCCGAGCGATGGCTCTTGCACCGTAGAGTTCTGAGTAACCTTGCGTCGCTAGCCATTCACGGGCTGACTCGTCAACGTCAAGCGTTATTCGCTTGCTTTTCAGTCGTCCTGCAACATCGTTTAGGCGAAGGGAAACAACTTGGAGAATGGATTGTTTGGAAAGTTTGTTGAACACCAGCATTGAGTCGAGACGGTTAAGAAGTTCTGGAGGGAAATACTCTTGCGTGCGCTGGAGAACTTCATCCCGAGCATCAGGAAGGACGACACCGTTTTCGTTACACGTACTCTTATGAGCGAGAATGTCGCTCCCTGTGGCATGGAATTTGAATACATATAAATTCCTTTTTGTAAAAAATAGGAAGCAACGACGCACCAAGGTTACTGGTCAGACAAATTATTGTGTTCTTGAAGTCGACTTTTCGACCTTGACTGTCCGTAACGCTGCCCTCGTCGAGTATCTGAAGCAGAATCATAGCAACATCCTTGTGGGCCTTCTCAAGTTCATCTAGCAAAATGACTGCGTAAGGTTTGCGATGGACTGCTTCTGTGAGCTGACCTGTTTCTTTTGTCAATATCAAGGCTCTCGAAAAGAATAAGACCAATACATACCGCCTTCTTCGAAACCAACATATCCTGGAGCAGCACCGATCAGACGCGATATGGTGTGCCTATCATGGTATTCAGACATGTTGATATTTATCCTATATAGACCATGTCAGACCTTGTGAGTTTCTGAGCTCAATGCAGGTACGTACAATCCACGCTGTTCATCGTTGAATAGGAACCCAGCAAGTGCTTTGCATAGTTCAGTCTTTCCAACGCCGGTGGGACCCAAAAAAAGGAACGAGGCAACTGGCCTGTTGAGAGCTTGAAGACCAGCTCTTGACATTCGAACGGCGTCACTGATGGCCGTTACGACGTGGTCTTGTCCGACCACTCTTTGTCGCAGAGTATCCTCCATCTGGTTCACAGATCAGTAGATAAAATCAAATTGTAAATTGTTCACGCACGCGAACCAACTTGTCCTTCTCCCCTTTCAACAAGTTCTGGACCGGAATACCTGTGGCCTTCGCCACAACTCTTGCAATGTCATTTGGGTTCACCCTATCGTGCAGCATTGACAACGGCCCCTCTCCTTCTACCTCGGCTCCCTCAGAATCCTCCCTCAGCAGCTGTGCCTCTAGTTCTGGAATCGTCGCAAACCTCAACCGACTCGCAAGCTCATACTGCCCTTGCCTTTGCACCACTTCCAACTGATACTCCGTTTCCTCCAGCCGCTCTTTTAAATTTTTGATTTTATCCAATCTCTCCCGTTCTGCTTGCCAAATAGACGTCCAGTGCTGCGCCTCGTCCTTCTTGCGTTTGAGGTCAGACTCGACTTTTTCTCGCCGTTCAACGCTGAATACGTCGGATTCGTTTTTCAAGGACGCGAGTTCGATTTGAAGGGTCATGATTTCGCGGTCGAGGGACTCCAGTTCATCAGGTTTTGATTCCTGAGCCAGGCGAAGAGCGGATGCAGCTTCGTCGACAAGGTCGATGGCTTTGTCAGGCAGGTAACGGTCGGAGATGTATCTGGAAGAATATACGGCGGCTGAATGAGAGAATGTCATTTAACAATATGGGACTCACCAGTGACTAAAGCGCTATCACAAATCTCAACACCATGATGAACCTCATAGCGTGGCTTGAGTCCTCGAAGAATGGATATTGTGGATTCCACTGTAGGCTCATCAATGCTAACGGGCTGGAAGCGACGTTCCAGAGCTGCATCTTTGCCAATGGTCTTGTGGTATTCATTAGCTAGTAAGGACAGGGGAAGTCAATGTAAACCCAGATCCACAAGAGCCATGTACTTACGGGTTGTTGCACCAACAAGCTGTAAACCCCTTGCCAGAGCAGGCTTGATCATTTGTTTCGCATCAATACTTCCCTCGGCTTTACCGAGCTGGAACAAAGCGTCTAGTATCCAGAGTTAGTATTTTTCTTCTGAAATTCATGAAGGAAATACTTACGAACTTTGTCAACGAAACAAATAACATTTCCCGCTTCGTCTTCGATGTCCCGTATTAAAGCTTTAAATTTCTCCTCAAACTGCCCGAGAATTCCCGAACCAGCCATTATAGCAGACAGATCAATAGAAAGGACCCATTTGTTTTGAAGAGACTGTAAATATAGAAATGAGTATATGTACAATGCGCTCGCTTGAAAAAGACTGAGAACCATACTTCCGGTACCTCCTTCGCTACAATACAACTAGCTAAACCTTCTAAGATGGCTGTTTTACCAACACCAGGGGGACCTATCAGCACTGGATTGGACTTGGTTCTACGAGAAAGGACTAGGCCAAAATAAGGTTAGAACGTATACAACCTAAGAACCATAAATTCAGCTTACTCTGAATAGTCTGTCGAATTTCTTCATCTCTGCCAATTTGTAGGATCAAGCTTGCCCTCTTTGGCCATCTCTGTGAGGTCAACGCTCTGAAGAATGCTGGTTCAGCATTTTTTGCTTACATTTGAAAATATCAACGCACATATTCCTTCAAAAGTTTTGCGGGTGGAACTCACATGGATTCCCCCATTCTAAGATACGCTCTCCCCAACCAGACTCTCAAAAGTAAAGCGGTACGACGGTAAGCCAGACCAAAGAGACCACAATAGCTCGTACCACCACGAGTAGTGCATAGAATTCCTGTCGTATCAGCCATCGCATCGTTAGCAAGGCGGAAGAGTTGAGGGCATATCTGGAGTGTAAACCGTTGCTTGTTGTGTGAGGGCACATACCTGTTGAAGTTTGGAAAGCTATCTGACCTTTTTTGAAAAGAAATTGGTGCCTGCATATATTGCAGGTCTTCTTCTTACTACGGGCTAGCCGTGTTGTCAAGCTAAACCGAAATTAGGTCAATCTTCCTTCTGGAATTGTGCCTTCGTTGAGCTCACCAATCCTGATGAATAACAAAGTCCAACAAAGTTAAAGTCTTGGCTTGTTCCTTGTACAATTCTGGATAAATCGGCAGCTCCTAAAGGTCGCGGGAGAACAAGCTAGGCATAGGAGGAACGACCTAAACTAGCAAAGTTCCACTCTGAGTCTGGGAAGGATCAATAGCCGGGTCGGAAGATTCCGACGAAACCGGTGGAAGGGGCTGTGCTGGCCTCTGATCTTCTTGGCATCTTCCAACAATCTTTTAACCTCTCCCCTCATGGACCGCCGAGTCAAAACGCGAGGATTAGCCTCCTTTGTCAGAACAACGGGGAACAATTTTGTTTCCAAATTGCGCCATGGTCATTCTCATCATCAAACAGCACCTGCAGCCTCTTCCCATCCATCGATATTGTCCGATCCTCTACCTTTCGAAGTTCCCAAGGGCTGCATTACCGATGGTACAAAACTTCGGTTTGCAGATACTCGGGATCCATACCTTCCTGCCATCTATGAGGTGAAGTCGCATCCCCGTATTCCCAAAGATCTGGCAAGCAACACCATCAAACGGATACTCGTTGTCCCCTGGCCAAAAGGCAATGCACCTTATCTCAAATTCTATTTTAATTACTGCAAGGCCAACGTTCCTATTCCAGGCGGTCGCAACGCAACGATCCCTAGTCTTGGCAAGTGCATTCCAGTCGGAGACAACTCCATTTGATAACAATAATTGTTCAGGTTGGGGAAAACTTGAAGCGGGAGATATTGTTTTTGTTCGAGATATAGCAGGGTCTGGAGATGGAATAGATGACTCTTTTGAGGTCTTCGTGGGGGACATGTGCGTATAATGACCATTTCTTGATACTTTCCTTACTTACAACTATATCCAGAGACGAAGATAGCGAAGATGGAAAACTCATCAAAGCCCTCCGAGATGAAACGCTTGGACCCAAGGAAGATCGATCCGCAAACTTTGGTACTGCTTTTGAGCAATGTACGAAGCGCGCCAATCCAGTTGGTGGCTCCGGACGTTGCTACGGCTGTGGTTTAAGCCATCAAAAACCAAGAAACCTCGTTACCCCTGCAGTTGGAGGCAAGGTACGAGGGGATCTCAATACGAAAGAGGAGGAACATGTAAAGATGCGCCAAAATCTTGTAATGGTCAGCAAATAATGTACACAATTATTGATACCGAAGTAGTAACGTTTGTCTACTTAAACTAGATTCCTATCCGGGTTGCAACAAAGTTTTTCCGACGTTTACTGCCTGCGGAATACAAATGTTTGGAAACTGCTTGCGATTTGAATAACGTGCCTCGTATTGGTACGGATGACAACGTACTCTATCAGGGAGTCCAGCTCAACCTTTCGGACCCTGTATATGATACCGGTGGTGCGTTACTTATTACACAAGCAAATCCAGGACTGATAAAGAATGTTTAGTCATAAATTTCATTAAAGCCCTTGCGTTTTTTGGTGGAAAGCATTTCGACAAGCACGACTCTCCCGGCGGCTGGACCACGATGTTTTCCTATCCAGACATGCCAATTGGGAATGGATGGGAAGGCGGGCGATTCCACCTTGTAGAGCTTGGGCTATATGCTGAGCTTGATGGTCTAAAGTCTATAACCTTTACCGGACTTCGCTTGCATGGCGGTACTCCTCCCCTTGCTCCTGCAGGAACTCCAATCCCGCCTTGGGCCTATCGATGGGTGGTGGTGCTATATCCTCAGGGTGCTATTCTCGACGGAAAAGCAACCGTAAACGTAGCAGCAACTTCCAAGGGGTTTCCTGTTCAGGTAATACCTGCAATGTTGGACGCAATGGCTCCAGAACCTGAAATCGAAAAGTAAGTACCGCTTTCAGCTTTTATACAATGTTGTGTTGATAATTGGCTAGTAGCAACAACGGATCAATGGTTGAAGAGGACGAGTATGTTTTATTCTGCTCTTTACCACGTACCCATCTCACCGCAAACCCAACAGACCAGAACCGCTTAGGATGTCAGCCAGGGAGCTCAACTTCCTGGACGATGGAAAAATTGTTATGACGCCTCAAGCCGAAATCGATTTTCTGGCTCGATCTTTCTTTTTGCATACATTGTATAATCAGAAAGAAATTTCAGGAGGTAGTCTGATGAAATATGAGACTTACCGGCATGGGTGGTCCATAAAACGGGATGATGATATTATATACTATGCTGGTCCTTGGGATTTAGCTCCAGGAAATTCAGGTCGGTTACTCCCTAGCTTACTCTAATGCAGATATTGACTTTACCTCTATAGATGCATCGCTGCGTCAAACCGCACAAGTACAATGGGCTCAACATTGCAAGCGGAGACTTGAAATAATACCCTCTGCTTCGCGTAATTTCAATGGTCCTCCAATTAGTAAGCCGCTTTGCTTCTTGCCAACCTCTAGTATATCCTTCACAATCCACAGAAATTCCTCCTCCTCGATTTCTCAATAATTCGGGACGGGCCAAGCGCGCAATATATAGGAAGACTGCTGCATCTAAAATCAATGCCAAATTGAAGAAAGGAAAAGCAAAGATGGCCCTTTGTACGTTTTATATGATGTTACTACTTACAGATACATCAAACGTTTAAGCGCAGCTGAAATTATTGATGCCGCAAACAAGGCCCCCCAAGTTGTCCAAGAGAAGAGCCTTGTCCAAACGCCGGCTCAACCAAAAAGAAAGTCTAATGCCCCAGCCGATGGGGAACGAAAGAGCAAACACATTCGAGACAGAATGAGTATGTTTTTTTTATCACCGTTAGAAGTATACAAACAATCCATCTGCTATTGCAGATGCCTTGCATGGCACTGAACCATTATTAATGGAGAAAATTACATACGAACTTCGGTCGATTTACTCTCATCGAGTATGTACCAAAGCAGTAAGTGTCGATATTTATTATTGTTATATTGAACCAAGATATTGATATCTTGACATTAGTGCTGTAGTTATGAATATTTTGTTGAATGGGATGATGGCGTACCGGGAACCAAGGAATGGATACATGAATATCAAATTGAGTGAGCATAGTTCCATATGCAATACTTTTCCTTGCTGGACTTATCATTGTTAGTACGGGCGAAATGTATTCTAGTTATTGTCAGGGTGCATTTGCTCAAGTATTAGATAGCAAGTCTTACTTTTTGAAGCTCCAATGCAAGTTTGCTGATCGAGTTTCCCAGCAGACGTATATCCAGGACCAAGGGGTGGGAACTGCATGTATAACATATATCTGGGACCCATAGTCTAATTCGTCTATAGAAAATAACGATCTTCCCAATTGTGGCAAATCGAGTCAAACAGCTAACGCTAAAGGTAAAAGACTCCAATTGTATGTATCAACAAAATTCTCATTGCTTTACTAGAAATTTCATCGCCTCATAGTCAAGACAAAAGTAAGTTTTCTTGCATTATCTTGAGGAAATATCCATTTATAATTTTTAGCTACTATTCCATTTATTCATAATGTGACCAAGGATTCCCTTCTATTCACAATACATCTTCTCAATGAAGGAATTGCCGGGAAAGAGGAAATGGATGGTACAAGTATACGGGGGTTATTTCAAAAACTTAACCGATTTCATGCAGCACTTGAAACTTCTCCTCTTGAATCAAGAACAATGAAAGCAGCAGTCGATGTCTGGCCCTCTATTGCCCTCCTGTTAACGGATGCAAAGGTGCACGATGCAAGTGCTCGGCTTCTACATCATACGGTTATGCTTTCCCATTATCGCCTTTATACCTGGGTTTCTGAATCTATTGAACGTGTTCTTGATTATCCCTCTTCAAATTGGTGGTCCCGTCTCATGAGGGCAGTTGCAGAAGTTGTTGAACTGGGCGTTCCGGGAACATTTCAATTCGATTCATTGGAGTTCTTTCCTGCAATCGATCCACCAAAAAGCTATACTTGGTTATTCCAGAAAAGGCAGAATGACCAGCGCACCGCCAATACTCTCCTTGCATCCAGAATCATCTTCCATTGGCTTGGTTTGCCTATGGAATCGGATGATAGGCACCGAGTGCAGTCATTATTTCTGAAATCCATCATGGATTCCTGTAGAACTCCCAGCATTTTACTACTCGATGAGGTTTGGAATGCGTATAACGCTCCTTCCCATCTTTGTAGCATTGGTATCAAACGGGCGCTCCCTTCAAAAAGTGCTATGAAGAAATTGGAACGTGCATTCCTAGAACACCCAATTCTGGGCCATGAACGTTCTTCAGAAATTGATGAGCTTTTTACTGCTCTTCATAGAGCTCACTGTCTGTTTATCGGTCTCTCCACAACCAGCAGTGCTTCAAGTTCAGGAACATTGGTGCCATTACCACGATCTCCATCTCTCTTGACTGCGCTTCCCGCCAGTTCGTTTACACAAACATCGGCTCCAACCTCCAACATCGCATCGAATCTGCCTCTGCAAAATCCCCGCGTTACCTTTTTCCGCAATTGGCTCCTTGAAATCGCTGAAATCTATGTTTGTTCATCACCATTATCCCAGGACGTTCTCACTGCGGAGCAGCGCAGAATTTTGAATAATTCTGATTCTTCTTGCCCTTTTCGAGAGTTAGCCCTTTCCAGACGACAAGTTTCAGGTATACAAGGTCCATTTGCTCGTCTCTCTCGGGGAGCCGTATTTAGTGCTTTGATCTTTCGAGGAATCACATTCAATACCAACACCTTGCATGAAACGGGACACCCTGGGCTCTTTGACACTTTTGAGGCATGGTCCCAATTCAAATCCCAACATGCACATCGAGGAGAACGATTCATTTGTAATCCACATGCCTATGGTCCAACCAAAGGGAGGGTTTTGGGAAACGACCAACAGTTTTGGACTTCCAGCCAGGTTTTATACGAAAAGTTAATGGGATCCAATATATCCTTCATTGGCATTTGGAAATTTATTACCTATGGAAAGGACGATAGGAAACGGAAACTCTTTCCTTCCTTTGGAGACCTCTCGGCATACCTTCTAGCGGTTGATTTTGTTTATGCCGGTCACATTCCATGGCCTACGCTAGAAGAAGTTGCACGGGCAATAGCAGAACTTAGTAAAGGTGCCCTGCATGGACTTCAAAAAATGGGCCTTCTTTCCGTGGACCGTTTTGGGAAAGAGGATGTTGAGAAAACCTTCAAAGCATTATATTCTTTTTTGGATGAAGATGAGAAGTTTGCGACCGTAAAAAAAGCAGTTGTATTCGACTCATTCATGGTGGAGCATGCATTGTGCAAAGTAAGTAAAGATCGGGTATTCGAAAATCATAGCGTATAAGTCTGATAATCAATATATACGGCTAGAGGAATGCAATGGAAAGCAGCATCCCATGCAGCGAAGAATGGATACTCCCATCTAGTAATTGATGTTAGCGATGGCAATCATCTATCTCAGTAGTAGAATACCACTTGCTTGTCGGGCATGGATAGTACGTCCACGACATGCATGTAGCGCCAATCCTTTGAGATAATATTCAAGCGACAGTCGATGAGCACGACAAAAGAGATCTTACCCAGTTTCTAATGAATTTGCGTTCGGGAGGAGGAGGTTGAGCAGGATCACCCTCCAACCATTCCTTCTGAATGAACTTGTAGTACCGTTTTGTTTGGAGCATCTCTCCCAGCACTTGACACACGATTTGTTTGAAATCATCGCTCATAGGCCCAAAGACGAGGGAATTGTAAAATTCGTCTGCTTCCCGACGATGAGCTTCGACAACATCATCGAAGATACCTTTGTCCTCGATACTAAGGTCCTTCTTCACAGAGAGAGGCGTTAGCTTGAGACGGACAACAGAGCAGCCCCCTTGACTGGGTACATCTTTGAAAATGTAATGAGCAGCAGACTTAGTCCCGGTCTTGTTCGGGTTCACGAAATCAGGTCCAGATGGAAAAGGTGTGCAAGGACCTTCCTCAACTTCATCGTCGTCAACTTTGGAGCCAGCAGTAGAGTAGACGCGAGCTCAAGAACGGATCTTATGTGAGAAGAAGTCTTCATCACCCTCAGGTGGGGAGGGCGATGAGAAGGAATAATGTGATCGTGGAAAGCGTCTTCAACATAGGGCGTTTTGTTCTGACCTCCGTACAGGCGACTAAAGTTGGTGTTGTTCTCGGTAAATAGCAATTCTGGTTCAACGGCTTCTGTCTCGGGGTCAACGTCAAAGTTGCCATTAGGACCAACTGGTGGGGGAGAAGGAAGACGATAGAGGTGGGTTTTAGGTTGGTCTGGATGTTTGGCGGCGATGTAATTGATGCCACTGCAATTATGGGCAGTCAAGGAAGGCATTGGAGGCTTTTCTAGAGGCCATGACCAAGTGTTTGGGAACCACAGTTGGGGAATAATATGGAGAGTTGCAGGATCAGGCCCTCGATTATAGGCAGTAATCCTGATATAGATGTTATCTGGTTCGTCTTCGTCCTTGGCGTACTGATGGTATGTAATGTAAATCAGAGGATACGTACATACATGTGTCTAGGACTTACCTCTACGAAGACATCCTAGTACCTATCTTCATTGAATGTGTCTGAGTCGAGAATCTCATACCCGGCAACGTCACGACTACGATTCCGGTTCTCAGTCACCAGTTCTTCGTACGGGTAGCGACGTTGAGGGTATTTGTAAAGGAATTTCATGTATGAGTGGGAAGGTGTCGAGTCAAGGTAGTAGTAGAGCTCTTTAACGTCTTCGCTGTGATTGCCTTAATGTCCAGTGACACCAAACAGGCGCTCCTTGAGAATGGGATCCTTGCCGTTCCAAAGAGAGGGAGAAGCAAAGGCGTTGATGATTGTCGGAAATTCCAGCAATACTGTCTTTGCCCCAAAGGTAAGCACGAGATCGCGCGTGTTCATGAGGAAAATGACTCCAGGCATCTCCGTTGGCCGAGTAATCTTCGCAAACCGTGGCCTAAAATGATATTCGAAATTTAGATTGACGAGTAAAGGTTGGAAAGTACTTACCCATTGACAGTTGCTAAGATAAGGGCCCCAACGTTTCCAGTGTCTTTCACGTCGCTTATCCTGTTCAAGGCGGTATCACTCTACACCTTTATAATCAGCGCCAATCCGAGACGCAAGGTGTTCGCGGTAAGAGCGATTGTCTTGCTGTTGATGAGCATCAAGCTCATCGTCATCAGGTGATGGATTGGATACTTTTGTAGACTTTGGAGGAGCAGCGGCAGGTAGTCTTGGCGTCGAAGGGACAGCAGGAATGTTGATAGTCAACGCCGGCTCAGAGCGAGGAAGGCCATCATCGTTAGAAATATTACCTCCTCTGAACAGCCCCCGCCGGACCCTCCCCACCGCTTCAGAAGCCATTATGAGTGGATATCCGTGATGAAAAGAGCTAGCGTTGCTGAGTCGTTGACTGAAGAAATAAAAGGTGACGATGGAGGGAGCCAAAGAAATCGGGAGGAATGACGCGATGTATTTATACGGTAACGTGTTGTGACACGTTGGATATTTTTTCAAGGACTTTCGGTACCCTCTGCCCTTTGGTACTGACTGAGGCTTGGGTAAAGGTGAAATGTGCAACAATTAGTATACAGTAAATCTAAGTGAACCGTGAATCATTGTGTACATTGTACGGACTTATTTTAAATAATATTCGAAGATACGTCACATCATGAAGGACCGCTGGCGGGATTGGTTAATCGAGGTTAATCTTCGATGTTCCGGGCCCATTCAATCTTCACCCATCCCACCGCCCCTCATAAGTTGTCTATATGCTCTCAATATGCTCTTCACACAAATCCGTTGGATCAAACGTTGGCAAAGCAGAGTGGATACTTGATGAACTTTACTACTTAGATGCGTAATAGACAGAAACGACGAGAAGATGTACGCAAAGACGAGCAGATATACAGGTATACTTAAGAACGAAGCAATGCAGATAGGGCATATTCAAACATTATATCCATCGTAGTCATGTTTGAAAATGCAATGGAGGGAGAAGAATCCCATAAGGGAATCCTGAATTATGAACATGAATAATTCTAGCAATACCGAGAGAAAAATCATCAACGGACCTCATCCCTATTTCACATCCAGCTCCTCCTGAGTAACCAGGAGCTCATTGGGCGTCAGAGGCGGTTTGCACTGGATGGCAATTGAAAGGATTCCATTTACGAGGTTGACAACAATATCAGCCGCCTATAATTAGCCAAAAAGCAATTAAAAAGTTCAATTGAGAAATTAGAACTGTACTCACCCGAGTTTGGACTGGAACAGATAAGAGACGGTAAAACTCGCCATGGATTCTTTCCATGGTACGTTGCATTGGATGGTGAATGGGTCCAATAGCAGGGATTAAAGTCATTGAACCAGCTGACACAAGTCGGAGCTGAAGCAATTCCCCAATATTGCTATTCGAATTGGCCATCGATGGGGGCAAATTTGGGTTGGCTTGAGAGCGGAGGTCTTCCAGCCACAGCGGGGAAAGCGACATTCCCCACACCCACAGGCTCTTTTGTCGTGTGATGGCAGAGTAGCCCAAAACCACCTTCAAATCCTCCAGCCGCATGCCTGGCAGTTCTATATCATAGCAAAGAATATTGTGTTGCCGCTCGTAGTAAGAATCAACTCGTGGCGAATAGACCTTTCCTTTAGATTCCAAGCGAACAAAGCACATCTTGCGATCGAATAGTTTTTGACGCTCCATAAAAGTATATGGTAGGTGGTGGGGGCTGGAATAATCTAACTGTATCCGGAGACATTAAGTATCCTACAAAGTTGAGCCTGCAAATGTAAATTATCTCAGTTGGTTACCAGTTGCTGGTCAGTTCGTCAATGCCAGTTGCCCATCAGTAGGTAGATAGCGCGTTGAAACAATATTTGCAACTATTAGTATATTTCATATCGACTAGTAGGGGTTTGATATAACCCGTAACTTAGGTTCAAACCTTCTAGATTTTCTTCCTTGAGTCAACATATAGTGTTTGATTTATTGAACAAAATAAGAAGCAACTAATTAAGTATGCTAACGGTATCAAACAGTTGTATAAGCCCCTGCGGATTCTAGCATCTGTATCAATAACCAGTTATGTACTGCAGCTTGGGCATCCTTGATTTCAGTAGCGGAATCATAGCTTTGAGTGAGGAGATAGATGAGATGCGAGACTGGAATCCTCATGGTCCGAGTACAAGTCTTGAAGGAGCAACAACCTGACAAGATATAGGCCCTACGTGAATCAGGGTCCGATGTTGCTGGAAGATAACAAGGGTCACTATCTTCAACTAGGATAATCTATGTTGTAATGAGATGAGATGAGACAAGAGCCAATTTGTCAAATGCAAGATACCCACCCTTATAGGATTTCCATCGCGCAGTGTGCGGGTGGCGCCAGTAACCGCCCAACACATTAAACGCATTCTGAATGTCGGAGACTGCAATCCAGATAAGCTAGCATTAACTTCAACGCTAAGTCGACTCTTTGCATCTTCTAGCAGTTGAGGACAAGGTGCTCCAATTCCAGTAAGAAACTCTTTAAAAACTTCTTCAAATATTTTTCCTGCAAAGTTGTGACCCGCAATACTAAAAGCATTAGCAAGTTCATGAAGGGAATGTTCACTAATGCTGCATAGAAAACGGATGTGGAGAGAGTTAAAGTCCAATATTGACGATGCTTCAACAGTGCGGACAAATTCCTCTGCCCCCCCAGAGAAGCTGCGAACAATCTTGATGATCAAAACAATTAGATTATAAAAGCAAAGATATAACCATCTGGACGTACATCGACCAAATCTACTCCAGTAGAGCAAGGAAGCTGGAAGCCTTCGATAAATGCTTCAAAGTAGGCATTATCAATGCCTACGGGACCCACAACAACGCTATGAAGCATTTCCCATGCAAGCATGCGATGGCCTGCTTCGGAACGCCCACTCAAAACGCCAACCTAGTTTTTCCTGATCAGAAATAAGCCAATCAATCTAAAGTTAACGAACCTGGATATTGTGGTAAGAAGCAAAATGGGCTGCAAAGTCAACAATGCTATCAGAGGGGCCCATATTGAGCCAACGATCTAACATTTCACTGATAGAAGGAAGGTATGAGGAAACTAAGTCTCGATGAAGACACAAAAGATTGCAATTGTTCAGAAGATATATGAGAAGAAGTGGATTGAGATGGCCTGGATATTGACCATAGACAAGAGCCAAGGCGGTTACTGCACCAAACAGTACCAACTCCCTGCGCTTATCTGGTAAAATTTCTATATCTGCAGATTGAAGAGTAGTGTAGCTCTCGAAAAGAGGCATACAGAATTCATCTTCGCGAGCATCAAAGAACTGCTTGAAAACCTCAGTCATGGTTGACTGCTCGCAGCCAGGGCCTGAAGAGATATAGTTATCCTGATTATCTATGCTATTATAGATTGTGATGCTGTTGTTATCAAAAAGTATTGCTGAATAGATAATATGGCGTACCACATAAAATGCCGATATGGCGAAAGAATCTTGCTCCAGTCCTGGCTCTGGACCGATGCTTGCATTAGCTTGATGAATTCCAATGCCATTTCTTGATCATTAGCACCCTTCACTTCAAAGCCAGCACATTCAGATCCTCCGCGGTTCACCTCTGCTACAATTTGAAAAATGGCCAGGGTACGCTCGTGGTCAAAAAATTCAGGGATTGAAGCAAGAGGTGATGGCGATATCCAGTCCTCCTCCCATAGTTTAGAGGATATGGAGTGAATGCCTGCAGCCGAAGTGAAGGCCTAGAGACAATATAAGTCAGGATTTGAAAATATGATATTCACATACCAATCTTGGCTGAGATGTGCTGCTGGTTGATCCATCTATGGCATGTTGAGGGTCATGATCCATAGATGCTCCCTGGGACATCTCGGTACTTAAATCTGAAGACCTTTGTTCACTGGTCAACGACTGAGCAACAACTCTCGAATCCTAAGTATTGTATAAGGAAAAAATCTCTTAGAGATAATAACGTTCACCTCTTCATCCGAATCCTCATTATTATCAAGCTCATCACAAGATTCCTCCATTTCTTCCTCATCCAAGGCATGAACGTTGAGATTGGCATCCGAATCATGGCGGAACATTGAATAAAAGCGTTTCGATAAGCATCTATGAGGGCGAATGCTCTCATCCGACCCTAAATAAACCTGGGCTAAGCCTACATTAGCCTCAAGTGGGTAGGCGCGAATAACTGGATTTGACCTAGTATGAGATAATATATTGTTGAGTTGCTTTTTATTTACTCACTAGCATGTAGCTGGAAATGATTGTCCTTTGTGACGACTAACTTTGGAATGACATATGTAGAGTGGCTTGATAATAAATCCCGAATGGTTGTATTGCTCTCATACGACATGGGCCTAAGTTTTGAAGTACTGTATGACCCATTGGTTCGGCCGTAGTTACTGAAGCCCATAAGATGAAGAGGAAGGAGCTCGCGTGGAGCAAGTGGTAAGGATGATGAAAGCAACGGAAGACTGTACTGATCTCTGAGTTTTATAGTAATGTCGGAGAGAAGGTCAAAAACCATAGTGGAAGTCGGAAGATTAGAATACTGGTGAAGAAGACCTAGTGCATTGAGCACCATGCGAAAGCTGTCCTTATTGATATCGTAGAAGATAGGTTGACTGGGAAGTCGGTAATGCTAAAGTAAAGTAGCATCAGTGAGGTATAAACAGATATAAAGGAATAATCATACGTTAATGATGGCCTTTGGTGGAAGAGGAAGATAAACTAGTACATCAATGGTGATGACTTCTACTCCTCCTACAGCTATATTAATACAGTCCTCAATATTTGGACCTCGATCTCTACGGGCAAGACTGGGTGGACGGATAGCCTTTCCACGAGGTTTCTTTTCTTTCCGTGCATTACGAGGAAGCGAATGAGAAGCATGGTCAAGTCGATTATTATTAGTGCGTTGGATAGCAGTGAGAGCTGGAAAACCAGAAGCTACTGTGATACGAGGGTGCCCCTGTAAGCTTGCAATCTGTCCATATCCATTGGTACCAGTTGACCCTTGCATGGTGGTATATGGCTGACAAGGGGGAGGAGGGGGCGGAAGTCCATTCTCAAGTGACTGTACCGGTACTATAGGTTGAACGGATGAAGATAAAGGCTGGGGTTCAACATCAACAGTTGATCTCTGACCCGATAAAGATTCTGGTATATGCATAGGATGCAGAGCTGTGGGAAGAGATTGCTGGCTTGGAGGGGGAAGAGGATGCGCATGGATCGACATAGGCATAGAAGGAGAATTTTGAACTGGCAAAGAAGAAGGTTGTATCTGGCTTGGTGCAGACCATGCTGTAGAGTATGGAGCTGATGGCATTAGAATTGGTACTGGATTCCGCTGGGATGTGGGTGGAGATGGTGAACTCGAATTAAACAAAGATGCTGGAGTAGGAATTGGCATGGAGGATGGAGCAGAAGATAGTTCCTGAGGTAATGCAGCCCGATTGGGTATATTTTGTGAGAGCGCCTGTGGAAGCAGGAGAGCCTGACGACGATCTTGAAATTTAGACATGCAATATAGAGCGGCAAAAATAAACATACCGTTGGAGAATACTGATTTTGACTTGGTGCCTGGGCGTTTGCTAGGGCCATGAAAGACCTTAACAGGTGGGCTATCTGGTCATTGTTTGGATTGTTTTCATTGCTGTTACCAGAGATGCGGTCCATGATCTGGAGTCCAAACTGGGAGGAAAGGAAAGCTCAAAGTCGTCCAAGCTGGTCAAGGTGTTATTTATGAGATAATAATTGTTGGGAAGTATGAAAAATGATATATACGAGTCCATAACATATAGAAAATTCAATGCAAAGTGGAAGGCTACTGGAAATGTACTGGCAAATCATTGGGATAACGCATACCGAAGTTGTTGGTCAGGTAATTGTCAGCGATGATTGATACTATTGAACTAGCTGGTCAGGTATCCCGAAGGGACTACTAGGTTTACACAAAGCAAGTGACTTGTTCCAACAAAATAGAGGTAGGTCATCTACGGCAGAGTTCAGATATTTGTAGACCATAAACAATGAGGTCAACACTACTACCAAAAGATTGGTAGATCAAAGAACTGAACTGTTTAACTGCACGTCGGAGACCTTATGAGAATCGATGGAGGTCATAGAATATTGAACGAAATCTGCCTTCATAGAGAAGCACCAGTAAAGTTTCTACATTTGAAACGTGTTTATTGAATGTTCATCACAAATATTCCAGAGCAAAGAGACATGCATACTGCGGTGCGACTACATTCTCAGTCATGATGTGAAATTATCATCAAGAAGAATCTGTTATGTAATATTCGGGAAGGCTTGTGTGATTTTCGCATGCCCAGCTGACAGCTTTGTCTGTTTCTGCGTACACGGCATTGTCCCTTCTCCTTGATCTCGCTCAAAACTGGGAACGATCGTGGCTGGCGCTGAGATGAGAGAAATATCTTGGGCTTGATGCACTGGATTTCAATCTGGACTGAGGCTGTAATAATTGCTAATAGTCAATGTTAAAGCTCTGTTCGCGCAATTTCTATGGTCAATGTTCGAGCTATTGCCCACGAAAAATAGCGGTAGTGGGGGGTCAAGTGGACTGGTACGTGATCCTGGCTTTAACTAGAAACTGATCCATTGCCACAACAAATTATTACCTTCACTGGGACATTTTTAACATCATTGGTAAAAAAAACAAAAAAATCTTGCAGGATTACGGATAGCAGCAACTTGTTTCGATCAAGTGACCTCGGGGTTATGGGCCCCGCGCGCTACCACTGCGCCATGCTGCTAACAGATCCTGGGAATTTGCAATGCCGTTAATTGGGTTGATTTGCCGACTGACCTTGGCGGAACGGATCTATCATCTCTGTTCAAGACACCGTCCTGGCCCGCAATGCTTCGAACAATCAGCTCTCGAATTTCACGACGATTTTACACGACATCACGCTACGAAACATACCACGGTGGAGCGATAAAGACATATTACAATCCAACTTTGACGGGACTTTCACCATCGGAGAACGAGTTTCGAGAAGCTGTATGGGAGTTTTCAGCGAGAGTTGTTAAACCAAAGGTCGATGAAATTGAACGAGGTGGCAGCTATAGTGCGTTGATGGAATTGCACAAGGAAATTGCTGGGATGGGGCTACATGGTCTTACTGTTCCTGCCAAAAACCTTGGATTAGAACTTGGTTATACACATCATTTACTCGCCATGGAGGCTCTCTCGTATTCCTCTGCATCTCTAGCCCTGTCTTATGGCGCTCATTCGAATCTATGTGTTAACCAACTATCGCGCTGGGGGTCAGAGGCTCAGAAATCTGAATGGCTACCGGGTTTGCTGGATGGGAGGTACTTGGGTGCTTTGGCAATGTCCGAGTCCGGCGCAGGGTCCGATGTCTTGGGGTGTATGAAGACCGTAGCAAAAAAGGTCGATGGTGGATATCTATTGAATGGTAACAAGTTCTGGATTACCAACGGGCCAAAGGCGGATGTCTTCATCGTTTATGCGAAGGATGTTGTTGAGCATGGGGGTGAGCACCTCCACCAACACACTCCTTTCCACTGTAACTAATATTTCTATAGCTAAACAAACATACACAACCTTCCTCGTTCCACGTATAACACCAGGCTTCACCACCGGTAAACCTCTCGACAAATTCGGTATGCGCGGTTCTCCAACCTGTGAACTAATCTTCACCGACGTCTTCCTACCCCCCTCCTCCATCCTCGGCGACTCACAGCACCACGGCGCAAAAGTACTTATGTCCGGACTCGACCTCGAACGCCTCGTTCTCTCCGGTGGGCCCCTAGGTATCATGCAAGCAGCATACGACACCGCCCTCGAATATGTCCACCAACGAGAACAATTCGGTGTCAGAGTCGGGACCATAGGCAGTATGCAAGCCAAAATCGCGGATATGTATACAAAGCTTAACACCGCCAGGGCTTTCGTCTATTCCGTCGCGAGGGCCGTGGACTATCATACTCAGGAAGCCGCTCCTGGCTATCCCGTCTTCCAAAGGAGAGATTGTGCCGCCGCGATCTTGTATGCGACCGATAAAGCTATCGAGGTTGCGTTGGAGTGCATGCAGTGTTTAGGTGGCAATGGTTATATCAATGAATACCCTGCTGCACGATACCTCGCTGATGCGCGTTTATACGCCGTCGGTGCTGGGACGCAAGAGGTTAGGAGGTGGTTGATAGGCAGGGAGGTCAACTCGGATTTCGAGTAGGGCGCGTGTCTGGAGAATTGAAATCGTGCTTGTACTTGTAATTTGGAATCAAATTTACATGTGTATCTTGGTTGTATATTTACTTACTTATTTTGGAATTCTTCAAAGCAGCATGGCGCAGTGGTAGCGCGCGGGGCCCATAACCCCGAGGTCACTTGATCGAAACAAGTTGCTGCTATGCGAAATTCTCCAAGATTTTTCCTTTTTTTAAACATACCTACCATGACTCTATAAAGGCCGAACCTAATATTTCAACTACTACAGGTGAATAGATGTAGAAGATAAAAGGTGAAATGGCAAGGTTCTTGAGAAGGAGGCTCAGGCCATGCTGCCAGACTGCAATAATGAGGATGAGGATAGTACAAGTGAGACAACACATTTGGCAAGGTTTCCCTCCCTCTCTGCACTGGATGCTGATGCCAAGTCTGCCATCTCGCACAATCAATAAAAATCAATCAGCACTGGGCCCCAGCCACCAGCAAAGTCATTCAGGCTATGAAAAGCAAAGAACTCTTTAATTTGCAGTTGTAAGACCTGGGTTAGAATAGGTCTTATGAGTAGTGTTAGGTATTGAGGTTTATGGTGTAGCATGCTAAAAGCAGGCTGGAGCTCGAAGGGAGCTATGGAGACCATGACCAAGGACTGGAATTACCTAATACAAGTATGATGGTGATATGAAAGACCCATGGGGAGGTCCCTAAGGGGATGGTTGACATAGAGAAGTGTGAACCAGGAACCAGAAAACATTACTGGAAGTTAAGGCTGGATGGTATTGGGAACCCTGGATAATTGTGCAGGTAGACTGAGCTACTAACAGGAGTGTGAATAGTAATGAAGGGTTCCTAGAATGAAATAGTGAACCCAGGAGGTAGTCCCAATAGAGAAGCAACACAACATATAACAGAGGGGAAGCTTCAATGTTGCTCAGGAAGATACTTGGAAAACAAGTAGGAAGCTTTGGGGAGGTATTTAGGCAGGTGACTCACCAAAACAATGGAGGTTTGGGGATCTCTGAGAATAGTCCAGGGTGGTTGTGAACTCACTTGAGATGCTTAAACGTGAAGTCAAAGTGTGTATTGGGGATGTAGAGACAAGAGACTAGATGTGAGATAGAGATAGAGAGACAGAGTCTGAGGAAACTGAGATAAAGAGGTATCCATAAAGTTAGCAGGTACAAAGGGACAGTGACTGAATCCATGTAAAGGATGTGTGATCAAAATATACCAAGCTGAAGTTTTGGGAACAAGGAAGCAATAAGAACTAATCAATTAAGGGGCCTGGCAATTGGAATCTAGTAAAAATAGGGCTAGTAGTAGCATTATTCCAGGGAAGGTGTAGAGGATCTGGGGAATTGGTAGTTAGAGATGTCATACATGTGTATCTAACACTGGGTGGGGGTGGAGGTATGTGAATGCATGTGGAAGTATGGGGAGGTATGTAGAGACATGAGAAAGTGTACAAGGAGGTCCGGGGAGGTCTGTTATATTGTGCTTGGGGGGCCAGGCAAGGCATGACAGCAGTTTGGAGACTCAGGGGTTGCTTTTATTTAATTATAGCCCCAGGTAACAAAAATTGTGTTGAAGTTGTCCTGCTTGATTTTCTTTTCCTTCCACCTTTGAACCAAAACATTGATAATAACCTGTTGTCACAGGACAAGTTCACAGATCTTAGTGCACAAAATATCCTGGTTTAAAAGCTTCAAGTTTTCTTCCACATCTGCAAAAGTGTCCAATACATATGTATATATAGAGTATCAACACAATACCATGTTCCTCACACTCAACTCCAAATAGCATATGAAAAACCTGGATGTTCACCAGAGCAAGGGTACTTGATGAAGAACAGGTTTTGCAGATGCACCCTTCTGACTCTTCTGACTGTGAAAATCAGTTACAAGGCTGAAGATATGAAGAATTGCCCTTATATATGTCATTCAATTCACAATTCCTTTTTAGACCACCTTCTTTGCCTATATATGTTGAACGCGGCTATGCTGTTCACATGCCACTATTATGATCATGTATTATAATATGTCATATGTAGTCATATCTAGTTATTTACTATATGCGGATTCCTCAGTACTTCCTTATGTAATACTGTCATACAGTTATGTATATAAACAGGCCATATCCTGTACTGGAATCCAACTCGCTTCTCTCTTACTTTTATTGCCTCACTGAGACACTAAGCTCTACTACCAGGTATGGTACTGGAGAGTGTTCCCACTACGCACTCCTTGCCTGCTCAACAATATATATGGTATGAAGTCACAGAGTCTTGAAACCGTTCAGTCAGATGTGACATGCACATGAAATTGTGTGACTATTAAGTGACTACTCCTGAAATATTACTGCTGATTGGTTTAGCAGCATTTCAGTCCATTTTCATTTTATTTCCTCACTGTATACTATGTATGGAGAATTGAGGAGGTTGTGCATGGTGCTTACTGCATGCCCTAAATATTTGACTTATAATTAATCCAAGTACTTTAATGCATTGGTTCCACTGGCCAGGTGCATGCCATGCACAGCTGTGCAGTGGCCTTCAATTGCATGTGATCATATTGGACACTTTCTTGCCAGTAGACAGTGTTATTTATACAGTTATACTTATAGTGATGGTGCAAATCAAATCCACACCCCGATTTGGAAGGCCTTATGTCACCAGCCCAGAACTGTAAATCTGTTGTTCTGCTGTTCAGAATTGAGGGTTCAAAGAGCTTATATTGCCACAAGCAACTCTTTATAGTAGAATCAACATGCTTTACAATGTGTAATATACAAAAATATTCATAAAAACAGTTAAATCACAAAATTTCCAAATTAGGGGTGTGGATTTGATTTGCGCATCACTGTAGATAATGCCTGCAATGTTCTCAAGTCCCTTAGTTGCTTTCACAGTCAACTGAGGTGAGCTCAATAGTACTCTTTGTATTTGCTCATTGTACTAACCTAAAGTAGATTCTCCTTAACAGGTACCTATATGTCATGCCTTGCCCACTGTTGATATACCTCCCCCAAGACTCCTTAGGACCTCCCCAGTAGTGATGTGCCAGCTGGGGTTTGGCTCAAAAGCCCTGGCCAAAGCTCATAAAATTTTTGGGCTCCAGCTGTGGTAGGTGCTTGATCTGTTCACTATTGGATTGTAATATAATATCCAATGTCAGTGTAAAAACACTGCCACAATGGTCTGAAAATACTGTCACAATTATTACCATGGTACTGTCATAAAGTACGCAGCCCCTATCATTTTCCTTTTCTCACCGTCTCGACGCCTTTACTTGTACGATACATCATCCCATCACTGTCAAACCCCCATCGATTACTGATCCATCGATTACTGATCCACCTGACCCATCTTCTCCTTCTATTGGCTTCCGCCACCTTCCTTGTTCCTAAACTGTACAGTATTACATCGTTGTTTCTCGCAGACCGGATTATGTATATATAGCCAACCCTCCACAGCCTGGTCCCTTATCTTGACCTCTCTGTCATTATCTGGGACCAGGTATGTGCTTACTTATTATTACCTATGACTACGATACTCAATATATCTCTGTCATTATCTGGGACCAGCCTGCCGCCGTTCTGCTTAGTCGCTCCGCCTTGTTGCCTCGTCCAGTTGCTCCGCCTCACCGTTCTGCTTAGTCGCTCCGCTTTCCCGCTCCGTTAGTCACTCCGCCTCTGCCGCTTCGTGACATTAGGTCAAGATCCATTACTGCACTGACAGCCTACCGATAAGGTTGTCCTTGCAGGGTCTATAGACACCACGTCTTCCCCAGTTCCGCCCGACTCTGAAACACCTGTTGCCAGTATAGACTGCTCCGCACTCCCGCACGCACTTGACCCCAGAGACCAAGCTCACGCCCATAACAACGACGATACTTGGCGCGATTGCCAGTCTCAACCTTGCCCCAACGCCCTTTCGAACTCAATCCGAGAGCCACTCACTGTGAGCAATATAACCTTCCTGCCGATTCCCCAGCCCCGATTGCCTACTCCCATCATGTCGACTCCTATCCCGCCTGCCCCAAACACCTCTGCGGAGGATCTCATGGCTCAGCTCATCAGACAAGTAGCTAACCTTGCTACAGCTATGGAGGAACGCTCATCCTCTAAGTCAAGCATGAACAAACCCGAGGTTTTCAAGGGTAAAGATGGCGCTGAAGCCCGTCGCTTCATGGCTCAGTTCCAGAATTGGGCGTCAGAACAACCGGATCTCGCCAAAAGCCAAGTAAAACTCATCAAGTCCGCCTTGGGCTTCTTCACAGAAAGTGCCGGAGATTGGGCAACTCCCCATCTGCTACATTTCAATGCGGAAAATCCCCCTTTCGGAGGAAATTGGGAGGCGTTTCTGAAGGAATTTAGCCAACGGTTTGAACCAATGGACCCAGGTATGGAAGCCCGTAGCGAGATCAAGAATCTCAGGCAAAGTAAAGGACAGACAGTTGCGGAATTCGCTCAGAAGTTCAAGGATATCAGAGATCGGACTGAAATGTCTGATATTGACTTGCAGGAACATTTCTTCACTGCATTACTCCCAGAGATCCGACAACACCTCATCACCGTAAACATTGCCCAAGGAATTGCTCCGACTCTGAAGGAGGCAATCAAACGGGCCATATCGGTGGATGTCTACCTGCACGATCCCACCATGACTGGCCGGAACTCTGGATACCCTCCCACGCATACTGCTCATACTACCCCTGCTGACCCCCACGCTATGGACATTGATGCAACTCACACCAGTAATGGGAATACTAGGGAAGCATTCCTAGCTCGCATGCGAGGACGATGCTTCGGCTGCGGTGCCCAAGGTCATGTCAAGCAAAACTGCCCACACCGAGAAACCACCTGCCGCTACTGTGGACGTCGAGGACATCTGGAAGCAGTCTGCCAAGACAAATTCATGGGACTCGGACGAGACCGAGGCCGACGCCAGCAACCTCGACGCCAACAGATATCCGCTACGGGACCCGCGCCATTCTCCCTATTCCCAAACAAATCCGTCCAAATCGCGTCCTCGACCCCAACATCTGCTTCTGCACCCGTAGCTGCTACTCCGAGCCCCCCTAACCAGGACTTTTCCAATCAGATTGGTCAAATAAGGGAATTACTTGATCGTGCTAACGCTATGTCCTCCTCGTCCTCTGGCTTTCAACAGGG